ATGTTTTAGCACAATAACAAATTCATCCTTTGTTTTTAAATGCTGAATATTGAGTCCCTTTAAATGATACGTCCAGTATCTATTAGTTTTCATGGCAATTTATGTGTTCTTTTTTTTCTTCTAACATATCATTCATTTCTGGTCAAATTTTTAAATTTCACCAACTACAAAAAAATAAAAATAAAATCCATATAAAAAGGGAAATTTGGATATTTATAAAAGAATTAACAGTCAAATCTAGTTAAAGGACTAACTTATGATTTTCAAAACTAAAAAGAGTATCTTGAAAGATCTTAAGAGAATAAGGACTAACTAATATATTAAACAGACAAATCCATATACTAGCAAATCCATATATATTTACATGCTAGTTACCTAAAGCATTTGTGTTATAATTAGTACACAAGGATACATTGATTAACTTAATATCAAATATCCGTACATTTAAATAAAAAAAATGAATGTCTCAACATTTTAATTTCTCCTAATCTTGAAAGGGAATTATGAATAAACAAACTTGAAAAAGAATAGGAAAGACTAATTTGGATTCTAATAGAAAAAATATTTCATCATCAAAATTTGGTATAAGAATAGTTTGATTATTAAAAAACAAATCAATACTAGTTCCAGTGATATAGAGATATATTTAATGATATCAAGTAGTCAGGACCATAGTCTATGATTAAATATTTAATTTAAATTATAATATGTATTTATTGACTTTTTTAAATAGCGTTTGATTATTTTTTTAAAATATGAAAGATGAAAACAATGAAAATAAAAATATATTTAGTTGAAAAGACAAAAATAAAAATATAAAATTAAATATATTTTTAAAACAATTTTAAAATAAAATTTTATATTGTCAACATGTGATATAAAGAGAACACGTTTTTAGATATAATATTTTTTTATTTTTGAAATATTTTTATAAAAATACTTAATTTTAATTAAAACATGTAAAAATAAAAATAAAAATTATTATTATTATAATTTAAAAATATAATTTAAAAAGCAATCAAAGATAAAAATAATTATATAGTTTTATGTATGTGTGCACGTACGATACACACACAGGAAAGAGTGAATATTTAAAGATTTATGTTATCATAGACTTTAATGGAGCAACATAGCTATGCCAAAATCATTGAGACTTGCTAAAAATATCCACTTAATGTTTTTTCAGTAAACATACTTTATTTTCATTTTAGTATGTGAATGAATATGAGAGTAAAATACCCTAATCCTTAAAAAGAAAAAACAAATTTTGTTGTTGTTTACTCAACTGTAGATTAATCCGAGAGATAATCCACGATCAGCCAATTAAATACAAGAACAAGTTGATGAGTTCATTTGAATCATGGGCTCGAGTGAGTTGGTGTTGCCAGAACCTGTTCCTCGAGAAATAAAAAAAGGATTGCCTGAGAATTGGGAAAGGGATGGAAGAACCTGTTCCTTGAGAAATAAAAAAAAATAAAAATAGGATTGCCTGAGAATTGGGAAAGGGATGGACTTTTAAAGATTCCTCCAAACCAACTTGCTACGCTTTTTAAAGGCTAGACCCAAAGAAACTAAACATCGAGAAGGGACCAAATTCACCCAGAGAATCACAAGATAGACACCGAAAGAGATCCCTTTGTGTCAACTAACCCAACAAATTCCAATATATGTTATTCCAAGGAATTATTCATTTACATTTAGAGTTGGATTTCTAAGTGGGATTCATGAATAATTTTTATAATGAATTCTAGGATTGTAATTTATTTGAAAGAGTACTATAACTCCAAATATGCTTGGTGATTTCTTATCATTCTATATGTTAGAGCCTCGAGGTCGTTGTTGTGTGAATATAGTCAACTAAATAACTTCTCTTTTATGAGGTTTTTTTTTTTTATTTTCACAACATTTATAGGTGTATGATTTGAATTTTAGCTAATTTTAATTACTCTTCAATCAAATTTATGTGGCGGCCGAGGAGTGTCTGAAGTCTAGTTTGTTTCACAACCTAGTACAATGAGCACATACCAAAAATGAAGGCATATCTGCCCCTAGCAGTTGTGAAAAAACTCTTTATTTCATGTTGCCATCTTGATGTAAGTTAGTAAATACAGTTTGGTTCATAATCTTGTTTAACGGGGAGTGGATTAATATAGGTTAATTCAAGTTAATTCATTTTATTTTATTTTAAATAAAGGTTAAAATAACATAATTCTTTTTAAATCAAATCAAGTTAATTGTTAAGTTAATTAAATTAAATTAAATAAATTTTAAATTAAATTAAAAAAAAACTCAAACTAAATAAAAAATCCAGTTAAGTTAATTAAATTGAATCTAATGCTTACCTGAAATCTTAACGGGCAGTCATGGATAAGATAAGGTAATAGATTTAACACCATTGTAAATGACAACAAATCCTAACATGCTGGCCCCAAAAATTGGGCTTTTATTGGGTCTCGTAGCTGACTAGAGATGCTAGCATGAGGCCCATAATAAATGAAATTCCAACATCAGAAATGATGGCCCATTTTATAAAATAGAATTGTTGGATGAAAGGAAGCAACATTTTCTAATGCCTTTTGCTAGGTTAAAAAGGTATTCTCAATCAAATAACAACACCTTGATATAACCGAACACGTGCACTCTGTAAAAGGTTCAGACACACCCCTCCCTTCTTATGTGGGGATATGCCGACTTGTGAGGGCAATGTGAATAGGAAGTTCGAAGAGATTTCTCTTGAGATGAAAATCTTCTGCACAACGACACCTTACCTGTTCATGGCTTGCTTGCTAGCTAAAGATAAGGTTAATGGCCTTACAACGCAGAGGCCAATAAAAAGAGGAAAAGAACATAAATGAAAGAAAAGAAAATATTTGAGAGGTTGATATTGCAAATCGGCAGTATCCATATCTGAGAGATGACAAAGCTCGCACCTTCCTGCACTCAAAAGCAGCCAAATTTTATAACTTTCAGCTCTCCCATGGTCCATTTGGCCATGTATTTGGCGGAATCATATGATCAATGCACATGCAGCTGCTAGGCCATGGAGAAAAGCATGGAACTTTCTTCTTTCCAGGGCAGCTCTGTAGAGGGATCTCTCCCTTACAATTTAATAACACCAACCCTAGCTATCAAGGTGCTCTCTATATTAAAATCTTCTGCTGAAATTCATCAGTCCTGATCTTGTCGATCAAGGTTAGCAAAAGCGTAAAAATAGAAGATTAACTAAGAGACGGGAATTATTTTCAACATCTAGTAGATGATCTATATAGAACATGATCAGGAAAGTGATCATATGGACACGGTTCTAATCAAATTAGTGTCCTTGTTTGTGGCTGAAAGGCCATAGTTCTCTCATTGCACATCAAATCAAGTGATGTCCCTTGCCAAAGCTCTTCCATTAGAACACGGATGAAAGGTGTCAAGTCTCAACCACACAAATAAAAAATATATATAAATTTTTTTTCTTATCAAATCAATTTCAAAAAAGATAAATCTTTCTTATCCGAATGCGATACGTAAGATTATCATACATATAGGATAAGACAACTCAAGTGTCAAGTTACAATCGATCTCAATCTATAAGCTAATCGAGTAAAAATCTAACGTTAACTAAATGTGTTAAAAATAGAAAAAATTATCAACAATCATTGTTTTATTTTATACTTATTATTTAATTTGACATTTAATTTTTAGATGACGGATGATTATTTTCTTGGAATAAAAAGGATATGAAACGAAAAAATATATTTTTAAAGTAGTTTTTATTTTAAAAATATAAAAATTCATTCTTAAATAATAAATTTATTTTATATCTTTTTTTAATAAAATAAATTTATATTTTTTTTTGTATTTGTCACTTCTATGATCTTAATAGAAAGAAATAAAAAAAAGGAAAACCTCAAAATATCCTCTAACTATACACAAATTCTCAAATGAGTTTTCAAACTACATATTTCCTCAAGCAGATCTCCACGGAGTCAGATATTCATCAATCAAATTACTCCATTGTGCCATCTTCCCTCCCCTTAAGCTATATTTTTCTTAGAACCTTCCCTCATTTTTGTAGTTTTTATGAAGAAGTTATATGAATCATGGAAGTAAACTTGTACATTTTTCTAGGCCTCCTATACATTTCTATGGATTTTTCATTGCTTTCCGTCAAAGTTATTTTTATCTAAATTACTCAAACAATGCCATTTTGAGAGGTTGATTTATATATTTATGGGGAGGTTTTCAGATGAAGGATCCAATTGATGCATGCATGATACTTTGAAGACCTAATTATGAAGCATTTACTTTGAAGAATCTAAATAAATTCACGTTTGAGACTAATTCGAGGCTAACTCTAAATAATTTGAGGAAGGCAAGAAGATATGAAGAATCTATTGTAATCCATGGATAAAAAAATAGTTGGCAAAATAGGCTAAAAGGTAAGAAAAAACTCTTCTGCAAGCCAAAAGGTCGTTTGTAGCTCTCAAGAGCAAGACCATGTAAAAGGAACACCAACTACTTTTCAAATCAAAGCCTTTTGGCTTACAAAAGATGCATGGGAGCTGGAACCTTAACAATATAAGCTTGAATCCTAGACCTTTAAATATTTAGGGTAAAATAGAATCCATGTGCCCTCATTATGGCTAGCTTGCATGAGCCCTATGACCATATGCCACCTCAACTTTCAAAATTCTGCTCAAACAGACAAAGTACCTCTTCTGTTAAGACAGCATGCAAGGAATGCAATATTTAGATAAAAGACAATTGACATTGCCAGCTTATGCAAATCATGCACTCGCCTAATGTACCTAGAACAAGAATCCAAAACTGACACTACAAGCCACTCCCTTACCACCTTCTAGCCTTTTTTAACCTCTGTTGTTGACAGCCTTAAGATTCTCAGATATGTGGACCCCTTCTTGCATGTGCTTTGCCTTTCAATTACAGGCTAACCTCTGTTGTTGACAGCCTTGCATGTGCTTTGCCTTTCAATTACAGGCTACACCTCCCTCTCTCCCTTCTTACTCACTCCACTCCCAAGTCCCAACAATGCCAACTCCTCTCCCTCCTAGGTTCCCCAAATTGGACCTTTTCTTCTTGTTCTTTCTTTCATCTTTTCCCTCTCTTGTGTGTAACTATAAGCACATGCATTTTCCTTGAAAAGTTTACTCATTTTGCAGCCAAAAATACAACCCAAAAAAGAGAAAGAAGAAGAAGAAGAAGAAGAAGAAACTCTTCCCCCTTCTTTGGTATTGAATTCATTAGCTCTTCTTTTCTTTTCTATCAAGAACTATAAGCCAATGCATTTCACTTAGAAAGTTTACTTCTTTTGCTTCAAAAACAGCACCTTCTTTTGCTTCATCTTCTCTTCTCTGTAAAGATGAAGAGTAGAAGCCATCGGAGAACGAAACTTTTACTAGTTTTCCTTGTTGGGTTTTCTTCAATCTTTCATTTTGCAAACTCTCAAACAAGCCCAGATGCTGAAGTTATGTTCTCTCTCAAAAAAAGCCTCAACGTGCCAGATTCACTTGGATGGTCCGATCCAGATCCATGCAACTGGAACCATGTAGTATGTTCGGACGAAAAGCGGGTCACCCGGATCCAAATTGGACGCCAAAATCTTCAAGGTACACTCCCTTCAAATCTTCAAAACCTTACTCAACTTGAACGTTTAGAGCTTCAGTATAACAACATTTCCGGTCCTTTGCCAAGTTTAAACGGGTTAAGTTCATTACAAGTGATCCTTCTAAGTGACAATAAGTTCATTTCAGTCCCCAGTGACTTTTTCACTGGTTTATCTTCACTTCAATCTGTGGAGATCGATAACAACCCTTTTTCCAATTGGGTCATACCAGAAAGTATAAAAAATGCTTCTGCTTTGCAGAATTTCTCTGCAAACTCAGCTAATATATCCGGGTCAATACCGGGTTTTTTTGGCCCGGATTCTTTTCCGGGTCTAACTATCTTGAGGTTGGCTTTCAATGATCTTGAAGGTGAGTTGCCCGCAAGTTTTTCGGGGTCACAAGTTCAGTCTTTGTGGCTTAATGGGCAGAAACTTAGTGGCGGCATTGATGTTATTCAGAACATGACTTCGTTAAGAGAAGTTTGGTTGCATTCTAATGGGTTTTCGGGTCCATTACCTGACTTCTCGGGTTTGAAAGATTTAGAGAGCTTAAGTTTAAGAGATAATTCATTTACTGGCCTTGTTCCTGAGTCTTTGGTTGACCTTGAGTCGTTAAAGTTTGTGAATTTGTCGAATAATTTGCTTCAAGGACCAATGCCTGTATTTAAGAGCTCGGTATCTGTGGATATGGTTAAGGATTCGAACAGATTCTGTCTGCCAACTCCTGGTTTGTGTGATTCGCGAGTTAACACATTGCTTTCGATTGTGAAATCAATGGATTATCCGCAAAGGTTGGCGGATAGTTGGAAGGGGAATGATCCATGTGCTGATTGGATTGGAATTACTTGCAATAACGGGAACATCACAGTTGTCAACTTTGAGAAGATGGGGCTCACAGGCTCGATTTCTCCAGATTTTGCTTGGGTTAAGTCATTGGAAAGACTGGTTCTTGCAAATAATAACCTCACAGGTTCGATTCCACAGGAAATTACTACCTTACCCGGACTTAAAGTGCTTGATGTGTCAAACAATCACCTGTATGGGAGAGTTCCAGCCTTTACCAGTAATGTGATTGTTAACACTAATGGTAATCCAGAAATAGGGAAGGATGTGAATAGTTCTACATCTTTGGAATCACCATCTGCAAGTCCATCAGCGAATACTGGATCTGGAAGTGGTGGTAGTTCTAGAAAAAGTGGCAAGAAATCTTCTACTTTGATTGTAATAATTATATTTGCGGTAATTGGGGGTGTTTTCCTGTTGTCCTTGATCGGCTTGTTGGTTTTCTGTCTATACAAGAAGAAACAAAAGCGGTTTAGCAGAGTACAGAGTCCAAATGAAATGGTGATTCATCCTCGCCATTCTGGGTCTGATAATGAGAGTGTGAAGATTACAGTTGCTGGCTCAAGTATCAGTGTTGGTGCTATTAGCGAAACACATACTATTCCTGCAAGTGAACAAGGTGACATTCAAATGGTTGAAGCTGGGAACATGGTCATTTCTATTCAAGTGTTACGGAATGTTACAAACAATTTCAGTGAAGGAAATATATTGGGATGGGGAGGTTTTGGAGTGGTCTACAAAGGTGAGTTGCATGATGGTACAAAGATTGCTGTGAAGAGGATGGAGTCGGGTGTCATAAGTGGTAAGGGACTAACTGAGTTCAAGTCTGAGATTGCTGTTTTGACCAAGGTTAGGCACCGCCATCTCGTTGCTCTTCTTGGGTACTGCTTGGATGGTAATGAGAAGCTTCTCGTGTATGAATATATGCCGCAAGGGACACTCAGTAGACATATCTTCAACTGGGCAGAAGAAGGACTAAAACCACTAGAGTGGACAAGGAGGTTGACTATAGCCTTGGATGTGGCAAGAGGTGTCGAGTACCTTCATGGTTTGGCTCATCAAAGCTTTATACACAGGGACTTGAAGCCTTCAAACATTCTTCTTGGGGATGATATGAGGGCTAAGGTTGCAGACTTTGGTCTTGTGCGTCTTGCGCCAGAGGGTAAAGGCTCTATTGAAACTAGAATTGCTGGAACTTTCGGATACTTGGCACCGGAATATGCAGGTACCATTTCCTCTAGTTGCTTTACCCTTCAATTAATGTTTAAATTCTTTCAAGGCTACCGTATGTTTGGACTTTTGTATATGTTCGAGTTCTTGTTTTTCGATAGAGATTTGGGGTAACATATAGTTAGCTCACGTATTCTTATATATTGACTGCTATTACTCTGAGATTGTTCTCATCACTAACTTCACACAAATGCACAACAATACCGTGTTAACTACCAAAAAAGGTTCATCACTCTCCTGTTCAGATTGTGTACTTTTGTTTTGTTGTTGATTTGTTATTTGTCTTTGCATCAAGACCGGTGAAAATTATTCCTGTCAATGTTAGTTAGTTCGTTTGGATTGGTTGTCAATGTATAGGGCATCCTTTTACCCTACTCTCTGCAAATTCATGTCTTACTCACATGAGGCATGGCATGGTTCCTTCATACTTTCAAAATCTATCATTTGTTGTTTCACTTTTATGGATCCTGTCATGGGAGGAATAGCATGCTTGCATCGGACCTTTCTGAATTTCAAAATCTCTATGATTGTTAGCATATTTCTTAGCCTGGAATGTCTTGTGTCTTATTCTGCTTATTGTTTATTTGAGCTTGTAATTTGCTTTCCTGATTTCTCTCTTAATTCACATTTTCACTTCAACTCTTGTTTTTGGGCGATATGTTTGCAGTTACTGGTCGAGTGACAACTAAAGTTGATGTCTTCAGTTTCGGAGTGATATTGATGGAGCTCATAACGGGTAGAAAAGCTCTTGATGAGAGGCAACCTGAAGAGAGCTTGCATCTTGTAACATGGTTCCGCAGAATGCACCTGAACAAGGACACGTTCCGGAAGGCCATCGATCCCACAATTGACCTCAATGAGGAGACGCTTGCCAGCATCAGCACCGTTGCAGAGTTGGCAGGTCATTGCTGCGCAAGGGAACCGTATCAAAGGCCAGACATGGGTCATAATGTGAATGTTCTCTCATCTCTGGTGGAGCTCTGGAAACCAACCGACCAAAGATCTGAAGACATATATGGTATTGACCTTGAAATGTCCTTGCAACAGGCAGTTAAGAAGTGGCAAGCTTATGAAGGTAGAAGCAATATGGATTCTTCTTCTTCGCTCCTTCCCAGCTTAGACAATACTCAGACCAGCATACCTGCACGCCCATATGGGTTTGCTGAGTCATTTAGATCAGCTGATGGAAGATGAGTGTGGTGTTTGTAAATGGTGGTGATGGTGGTTTTCAATAGTCATTCTATTTGCAGCTTCTTTGCTGTTTTCTTTATAAACTTGTCTGACTCGTAATTCTTTCATGTTTTAGCCTCATCCCCTTGTCTCTCTCTGTTTTTTTTTCTTATTGGAAATGTAGTTTGGATGCTCTTCACTTGAATTAGAGGTTTCGAAAATGAAATAAGATAGGTTTTTAGAAAAAGAAAAAAAAATGTCTTCAGTTCTTCAATTCTCAGTTATCTCTACAAAACTTCTTGCTTGTCTATGGACAGCAAAGCCACAGGTCCATTTTGCATTCCTTCCAATTTTGGTCTGTAAACGCTTCCATAAGATCAGATTCACTAAAAAATAAAAAATGCTGTCATCATTTACCATCCAGACATTTAGCACATGCAATGTCTTGGTGTTTTCAGTTAGCTGGAGTGGTATCGTTTTTGCTTTTGTCATCTCCATCCTATCCACCGTTGTGGCTCCTTTATCTGTCCATTTTTAATTTCAAGGACAGCATCACCTCCTTTCTCATAAATTTCCAGACCCCATTTCCAATCAATTACAGTTTGTGATGATGATGATGGCTTTAATTCTCTGGAAAAGACAATCACAAAGAACTGAGACGGCAATGAGAATGCTTTCATTGCAAAACAAGGCAAGAAAAAGAAAGAAAAGTTCCATGGCAGGACAAAGATGATGCCTTTTCCAAGAAAAATGTTGTGTAAAGGTTTGTTCCTTCGAAACAGCAACAATCAACGTTTAATTTCTTTTTTCCTACATGCAATCATATGACAGCTTGCAAACTGAACCTAAAATGTTTGGGATCTGTTCTGGAAAAGTGCTCCAGTTATCGCATCAAAAGGTTAAATTTATGAGCGGCTAAGAGCCATCGTGGCCAAAATATTATCCAACAAAATTTTATTTATTTTGGAATGAGTTTAACAGCTATCTTTTCACTGGATAAGAAACAGAGTTCGTGTCTGTTTCAGTGTATTAGATTCAAAATAAATGCAATATAATTTGTTTTGTTCGGAAAAGAAAAGGACAAGAAATATACTGGATAAGCAAAACAAGTAACATGCAGAGAACTCAGAAAAAAAAGGTTTCCCCATCCACGAAAACAGAGGAGGAGGACACTGAGAGAGGACTTTTGTCTTTGTTTACAGGGGAAGCATACGCAGTGCTGTGCTGTGGTTGTCTGCCCTAACGTGGGGTTCACGTTCCACCTCTTAATTTCCCAAGGCATCTGTCACTTGTCTATCGGGTTATTTTCATTCTTTATGCCCTAAATCTCTCCTGTGTGGACATATCTATCAGGACATGCTGCTGTCTTTGTCGATGCAAAAATAAAATAAAATAAAATCTATGTATTTTAGTTGGGTAATACAACAAAATTGAAGCCTCTTTGCAAGATTTTCTTCGAAAAATATCACTCACACGTAATTGAAAAAATAAATAAAAGGTTTCTTCACTCTCCTCCACAATTTTGTTTACAAGATGCTACCAAACCCATCATGAGAGGCTTCACTTAAGAAAGGTTTCTTCACTCTCCTCCACAACTTTGTTTACAAGATGCTACCAAACCTGTAATGTTTTGAATAAATAAGTAGAAAAATACAATAAAGCCTTTGGTGGCTTAAAGTGTAGATATAAATGAATGAGGGGTAGTGTAGTAATTCAACAAAACTTGATAAATATAAATAGAAAGTAAAAAAAAAAAACAAAATAAATGATCTGAAATTGAGAGAAAATCGGCAAGAGAGAGAAGGGAGAAAGAAGAAGAAGAGAAAAGAAGGGAATTAGAAGAAAATAGAAAAGAGTTGAAGGAAATAAGTTTAAAGGTAAGATTATATATAAATATGTGTTGATTAAGTTTTAATTTTGGTTTTGATAAATGTTAGGGTTTTGAAAATTTGTGTGTTTTGGGTTTGATTCATGAATTAATTGAATTTTATGGGTTGATTGTTATGGGTAATGGATTATTTGGTGGATTTTGAGAGATTGAATTGAAAGATGATGATTTTGAGTTATGATTTTGTTTGAATGGTGAAATTATGTTAGAAATAAGGAAAGAACAGTGGGTTTCTGTTGAAATTCTGGGTTGGAGGTTGAAGATGACGAAAATTCATTTTGGTCCTTCAATTTGTGGAAATTACAGTTTAGTCCCCAAACTTGGGAAAATTTACAGATTGGTCCCTGGGGCATATTCCGAGATTCTGAACAGAATAAAAGATAAATTATGGGCAGAATTCCTGTATAGTTATGAAATTTTAACACTTTCAATTTGGTCCTTCAATTTGACAAAAATTACCATTTAACCCTAAAAATTTGATAAAATTCCAGAATGGTCCCTGGAGTATAATGAGATGATCTGGACAGAAATGAGGATTGGTTATGGTCAGAATTTCAGTATATTCATGGATTTATGATAAGTTTAGTTTGGTCCTCCAAATGGATTAAGTTACAATTTGACCCTTAAAAATATAATAAATTACAGATTAGTCCCTAGCTGTAATATTAGCTTTTGCAGATGTGTTTGATGAATAATTGAGGGTTAGTTAGTGAAGTATTACCAATTTTATTATTTGTTTTATTATGGATTAGATTTTGAGAAAACCGTTAATTTTTGGGTTTTTGGAATATAACTAATTAGTTCAAAAATATATAGGGTTATGGAATATATACTTAAATAAGTGTATTAAATAGGTTATATATTCTTTTGAGTCATTCTTGAATATGTCTCCTTTGTATTCAGATAATCCTGATATTCTACCGGCAGGACGTCAGTAGGATTTTCTTCGGTGTTTGCTTTTGATTTCTGTTTGCTTTCGAGTCAGGTGAGTGGATAATTTTCCATATGCATGAGAAATATTATAAATATTTGATTTGTTAATATGAATTGGATCATGCTTCTTGATAATATATATGGTGATTATTATCCTTGTTATGATAAGCATGACCATTCGTTGAATCCGAATTCTTGATATGAACCAATATGTATTTTGCCGTCCACGAAAACAGAGGAGGAGGGCACTGAGAGAGGACTTTTGTCTTTGTTTACAGGGGAAGCATACGCAGTGCTGTGCTGTGGTTGTCTGCCCTAACGTGGGGTTCACGTTCCACCTCTTAATTTCCCAAGGCATGTGTCACTTGTCTATCGGGTTATTTTCATTCTTTATGCCCTAAATCTCTCCTGTGTGGACATATCTATCAGGACATGCTGCTGTCTTTGTCGATGCAAAAATAAAATAAAATAAAATCTATGTATTTTAGTTGGGTAATACAACAAAATTGAAGCCTCTTTGCAAGATTTTCTTTGAAAAATATCACTCACACGTAATTGAAAAAATAAATAAAAGGTTTCTTCACTCTCCTCCACAATTTTGTTTACAAGATGCTACCAAACCCATCATGAGAGGCTTCACTTAAGAAAAAATAAAAAAATTAGAGAATTATTTTCTATATTCTATCAAACATATCATAAGATCTTAGGGGGTTTAGCTTATAGGTAAGGAAAATCAAAATATTAGAGAATTTACGCACAAAAGAAAAGGTGAGTAGTTGATATAAGCCTACAAGGTAAGTAAATTTTTAAACTACAAAATCAGAAAGGTAATATATATAATAGTATGAAGTACACAGTGAAAGAGAAAAGGATCCGAGGGAAAGGCGTTTAAAAATTTCAATTTATAAAAAAATTTGAAACTAGAATAAAAAATAATAAAAATAAAGAAGAGAAGATAAGATAAAATACTACAAGAAAATAGAATTATGTTTGATAATAGTATATAATATATAATAATTATATCTGCATGTTGTTAGATTAATAATGGATAAAATTTTTATTTTATATAACATATTTAAAAAAATAATTAGATTATATTATTTTAGTTTAGTTTTTATTAAATAAAAATTAAAAATATTATAATAAAACTAGTTATAAAATCTAAATTGCTAGATGTGTCAATCAAAACTCGGGACATGCGGCATGAAAGTTTAGATTTAAGAAAAATAAACTTGTGTATTGTATTATATCAATACTTATCCTTATATTATGTTTTAAAATTATAATAATTATTATTTTAATTTTAATTTATTTTAATTTAATAATTTTAAAATTAAAAGGTTCTTATATAAATATTTTATGGATAAAAATAATAAATATTATATCTAAAGACCTATCCTTCTAGTATATTTTTTTTAATATATAAATTCACTCTAAAAATATTTTTGAGACAAATTTATTTTTTTAACCAACATATATTTTTATTTTTCTATTTCAGAACAGTATTTAAATACTATTTAATAACATAAATTATAACTAAATATCATCTTAGATATCATGAGACCATGTTTTTTTTCAAAAAAAAAAAAGCAACAAAAGGCACTTTTTACTTTTAAGAACACGCGTTGTACCACTTTCCGATGCATTTTCCGCTTCCCATTGCTTCGAAATCGAGTTTTACCGTGTTCCCAGACCATCAATTATATATATATATATATATATATATATATATATATAATTTATTTTACCATATTTATTCCAATAAAAAAAATTATTTTAAAAAACAAATATTTTATTATTTTTTAATATATTTAATGTTATTTTTTTTACATTTTTATATTTAATTAGTCTATTTTTTTAATGATCCTATTTTATTGATTTTGATTCTTAGAAGAGATATATAAAAATAATATTTAACATTTTTATATTTAATTAATCTATTTTTTTAATGATTAAATATATTTAATGTTATTTTTTTATATTTCTATATTTAATTAATCTATTTTTTTAATGATCCTATTTTATTGATTTTGATTCTTAGAAGAGATATATAAAAATAATATTTATAAAAAAAAATTAATATTTTGTTTGGATTTCCCTTACAAAACAAATAAGAAAAATTAAAATATTAATTTTTTATTTTTAATTATTCATTTAGTTTTTCCATTAAAGATGCTCTTAAGATCCAGTTGTAGTCAACGTCTTTGGATCCTGACGATCCAAACTATTAAGCATTGGAAGAACTCTTCTTTTATTTGGGCTCAAATACTTGTAACTTATATCACTTTCCAAACTACAATTGAGCAGACCCATGGGCCATAAACCATTCCTTTAATTATGAATTAATTATAATTTAGTCCTTCCTCAAAATTAATCAATTTTTTTCTTCCAAATAAGTCATGTCTTATCATATTTTCCCATAAGATCCTCAAGATATATTTGAATTATTTTTTTTATTATAAAAGCCTTACAATAAATTTCATTGTGTAACTTTTACTCGCATGCATGTATTGTGTTTTTTTTGTTTAATTTTCTTTTGAAGAATTTAAGATTTATTATCATACAATTTTATAATTTTAAGAAACAGAGAAATAATGTTTTTGTTTTTTAAATATTACACATAAAAAGAATTATAGTTTCTACTTTTACAATCATAATTTCATTAGAATATAACCAAGGTTTATAATGATGTTTATGTAAGAGAATAAATTATAATTATTCACAAGTTTGTCTCTCAAGAAAGAACTTATATATAATTTTCTCCAAAAAATAATTAAATAGTCTTTCAACCATCTTCAATAATTTTTTTAATCAGAAATGCCTTCTTTACTCATCAAATTTTATCATTTTATTTATTTTTCTTTTATTTTTCTATCCCTTAGGGAAAAAAAGAAGAAGATAAAACTGTAAAAGAACATGAAATTAACAAAATGATTAAGTTGTAAATCAACTAGATAATAAATACAAAAATATTAAACATATGCTATCCAAAACAATAAGGACTAATCAATTAATTTTATTAAATTATAATGACTAGATAATAATTTAATCTTCCATCTTAAGAGCTCTAATTGTACAAACCATGAGTAAGGAAAGGGTTGCCCATTGAACTCTTTTAAACTTAACCTAACCTGTAAGGTTAACCCAGGATCCAAGTATAAGTTGGGTTAAATTAGATATCATGAGAGTTAATTTGGGTTGAGTAAAAAATTTAGATTAATTTGTTATCTAGTTATTTCAAGAAAATTATTTTATTTTTTTAAAATAATATTTTTTTTATAAAATAAAAAAATTATATTAACTTAATTATGTAAGTCAACTCATTTCATCCTTAAACTTGCAAGATGAATTGATTAAGTGGGATTTAAAAACTATCATCTATTGTTATGAAATTTATAGCTCTGTTTAAAATGATAATAGTAGTTACACTTTAAGTGTTTTTCGTTTAAAAATTATTATTTTTTATTTTTTAAAAAATTATTTTTAATATTAGTATATTGAAATAATTTTAAAGCTAAAAAACTTTTTTTAAAAAAATTAAAATTTAAATGAACACGGTTTGTACGATATTCTCAAATAAATCCTTAGAAACCAAGCCGGTCCACCTGCTGCTTAATTTGACTGAGACCCTCAGCTATGAACCCTCGGCCTGCTACCCTTTCTCCAGATATTTTTAACGCATTTTACACACTGTATTATTCCCTCGTTCAACAGTCAACATTCCACGTTTCCAGTTCAGCAACCGTCCACGCTTTCTTCGTTTTTCAAGTCTTCTGTCCAGCTCTTACCTAGCTTTGACCACCAAGTAAAGTGAGCACCATATAAAGGCATCACCACTTCACAAGAATTCTATCATCGTATTCTCTAGCCCACAAGCAAAACCCAAAACATACCTTACAGACCTTGACATAACTAGCGAAATTCAAGCATATACAATGATACTTTCCTGGAGATCAAGAAGAAATTTGAAGAAAAACAAGATTCCAAGCCAAGAAATAAATTCAGACATGGAAATCTCGAATCCTAGGCACTTCTGCTGTCCGATTTCTCTTGACTTGATGAAAGATCCTGTCACATTGTCGACAGGAATCACATACGACAGAGAAAGCATTGAAAAATGGATTGAAGAGGGCAACCTAACGTGTCCGGTTACAAAGCAGGTGTTAGCAAGCTATGATCAGATACCAAATCATTCCATAAGAAAGATGATTCAAGATTGGTGCGTGGAGAACCGTTCTTATGGTGTCGAGAGGATTCCTACGCCTCGCGTTCCAGTGACACCCTATGACGTTTCGGAGACTTGTAAGAGGGTTAATGATGCAACTCGACGCGGGGAGCAAAAGAAGTGTCGGGAATTGGTTAGGAAGATCAAGAACTGGGGTAAAGAGAGTGAGCGCAACAAGAAGTGTATTGTGGAGAATGGGGCTGGTTGTGTCTTATCGGCTTGTTTCGAGTCCTTTGCAAGTGTTTCGGTGGGGAGAGATGAGGATTTGTTGGGAGAGATTTTATCGGTTTTGGTGTGGATGTTTCCACTTGGTGAAGAAGGCCAAAGTAAGCTTGGGTCGGTTAGGTCTTTGAATTGTTTGGTATGGTTCTTGGAGAGTGGAGATCTTTCAGCCAGGCAAAATGCAGCTTTGGTGCTTAAAAATCTTCTTGCTTTGGATCAAAAACATGTGAGTGCCTTGGTGGGGATTGAAGGCGTTTTTGCAGCATTGGTTAAGTTGATCAAGGAGCCTATTTGCCCTACTGCTACCAAGGCTTCATTGATGGCAATTTTCTACATGACTTCACCATCAAGCCTCAATGAGAAGATGATACCAATGTTTGTGGAAATGGGTTTGGTGTCAGTGATCATAGAGATTCTTGTTGATGGAGATAAAAGCATATGTGAGAAGGCATTAGGTGTTCTGGACCATATTTGTGACTGCAAAGAAGGGAGAGAAAAGGCCTATGAGAATGCTCTAATTGTCGCTGTTTTGATCAAGAAAATCTTGAAAGTATCAGGTTTGGCATCAGAATTGTCAGTCTCCATTCTCTGGAAGCTCTTCAAGAATTCTCAATACAGACCAGAGGATGATGATGATGCTGAAGGAGGTGTGGTCGTTGAGGCACTTCAAGTGGGTGCTTTTCAGAAATTATTGGTCTTACTGCAAGTGGGTTGTGGCGAGAGCACAAAAGAGAAGCTTAAAGAGTTGCTAAAACTGCTGAATCTTTGTAGAGTTAGGTTAGATTGTTTTGATTCTACAGCAGATTTCAAGTATCTCAAAAGATCATACTGATTTCGTGTTTCTCAAACAGCTTAGGCAAGAAAATACAAACAGATTCATAGAAGATTTTGAATTCATTCAATTGTGTACAAATTACTCAAAAATCAATAATTAGAACATTGAGATTTATTGATATATATGCTCTATCCATGCTTGAATTTATTATTACCATCTGAACCTAAACTTAATTAACCCTATTTCATAATAATTTTTTTGTATATAAACACTCTAGCTGTCTGGCATGAATTTTATTTGCTCTGCCTGTCAAGTCATACTTGGCAGGCTGGTTAGAGTTGAGCTGACGGCACCGAATTATTGAACTCACACTGGCACCAGGACTTCTTTCATTTGTTTTTGTGGGAGTAGGGACTGTTGTTGCTGTCAAAGCTTTTGTCGCATAGCAAGGTGGCACTTGCGTAGGGTTTTTTCTTCCTTTTCTTAACATGGGATAGTTGACGGATCTATCGATCTTACCGAAAGAGAGATGGATCTCTCGCTCCGCTCTGCCTCGTACTGTTTTTTTGTAGTTTTATGGGAAGAAGGTAGAGCGGTAGGTGCGTTCTTGGGTCTCTGAAGAAGGCTAAAACCAGGTATCTGGGCTTCCTTCAAAGCTATTTAGCCCTCAACATGTGTTGGTTTTAAGCTTGTTTAAGAAGTCCTGGGCTAGATTGGATTGAGCAGGCAATTAGATCCATGGTCAAAGTCTAGTTCTTCTTAATTCTTATTTCTAATTAAAATCTTCATCTTTACTAGCTAGATTTGTTGACTTTGAATGTATCTTGGTAGAGGATTTTCCTAGCTCAATTGCTTTAATCGCGTAAACTAGTGTAACTGTTCAGTTTCTTATAAAACCGGGTACAAAAATCTATTTGGGACAAGTATTTGATTCACAGGTGGGAGGCTCAATCTGAATTATTCTAAAAAATATATTTTTAAAGGATTAGTTTCCGTAAGGTTTTTTTTTTTTCAAAAACAAGTTAATAGATTTTTAGTCTGCATCAACTGAATAGTGGATTATTCAAAGTTTTTAACCGAGTGAGGTTTTTTTCTTTTAACTTGAGTCGTCCTACATCAGTTAAATTTTAGATTAATTCATCAAGTTAATTCAAGTTTTATAAATATAATTTCTACAATTTAATCTCGGTTAGTTATATTCCATGCTTCATTTAGACATATTCCGAACAAATATTTATCCAAAAAATGAAGTTATTAATGTTTATTTTCTTGTTTTAAAGTAAAAAAAAAATGTATCAATTTTTGCATATCAACTTTTAAATTTTGATAAAAAAAAATAAGAGGATTTTGGAGGTGGGTCCTTTAAAAAAAATTTACATAGTAAAAACATTATTAAAAAAAATTAAATTGGTCAATTGAACCTTTTGAAAAAAAAAACCTTTCCCCACTTCAAGGTAAACTTCAACAAATACGCCCTATCCAACTAGCTAAACAAAACTGACGAAAAAATAAATCATTTGTTAATGTAAATCTTGGGTTTTTCAAATATCTTTATCTAAACATTAAGTTCATGGAAGAGCTCAAATTGTGCTAGAATTCACTTGTCAAGTTGCTAGTTAATCCGTGCAGCTACCAATCGTGCAACTTGTGCTAGAATATTTGGTATGCGATGCGGAAACAAGGGCATTGATTACAGTGAATGAATGAGTGAATAGTAAGCAAAGAATTTTACAAAGCTCTTGAGTTGTAATAAGATTAGATGCACAAGTTTCGGGCATGCATGTGAATCTTGCCATTGTGTGCGCGCAGTCCAACGAAATCAGCTGATTCCCAGTAAAAAGGATTTCAATATTAGGGTAGCTAGTGTTGATCATTGAATTCCTTGGTACCTTTCTAGCCTTACAGGCCTCAAAATTGCCCACACCATGTTCATATGGAGCCACAATCATTCCACCTTCACATCTCCCCGAGGTCTCATATCATAGTTTATAAGAACCAGGCAGCAGCACTATTTTATGAAGTTTGACTTCATAGAGCATCTCTCGTTGTCGACATTTCACCTGCTACACTGGTATATCATTATGTTGCTTCAGGAAATATATTCAAGAAGGTGACATCAATGAGCATCCCCAAGATTAAACCATCCATGTTATTTGACTATTGATCCATGTCATTGGAAACCTCATTGTGTATTTATCAGGTCTATCGACTCCTCTTTTTTTTTTTTTTCTTTTTTTGTTCTAAATGCACTAGGAACATCTAGACAGATTGAAACGCCATACCCATTTCCTACTCTAAACCTCACCAAGTCACTGCTATTAGCTTCAACACAAAGTGATTGGTTAGGAAGATCAAAAGTAAACCAAAACCCCCAAAATGGATTCTCCTAACCAACCCAAGTCTCTCTCCACCAATCTCTTCTACCTCTTCCTTCTCTTGTCAACAAATCTCCTCACTCTATTCATCTCCTCTACCTTCTACTCTTCCTCTTCCTGCTCTCTCAACCCCATCTCAAGTACCACCACATTCACTAAAAGAAGTAGTCGCAGCACTACTGACTCAGATGGCACAGGAGATCCTGATACCCCACAAGCAACAATAGACCTCCCATCAGAATTTCTTGCCTTCTCTTCAGGCCAAGTTCTCCCACTTGGTTTCAACACAAAGTTTGATTCTGATACCTTCTATCCTCCTGTAGGCCAAGCCTGCACTCGGTTTCCTGATGAACTTAGTCGTTTTATGTCCTACAAAGTTAATGGATCCTGTCCTGATGATGAACTATTTGCACAAAAACTCCTCCTCAAAGGCTGTGAACCTCTCCCTCGCCGCCGTTGCCGCCCTGCTGCTCAGCCTGACTATGTTGAGCCCTACCCGCTTCCAACTAGTCTTTGGACTACCCCACCCAATTCTTCAGTTGTGTGGACAGCTTATACTTGCAAGGACTACACTTGTCTAATCAACAGAGTGAAAACTCAAAAGGGTTTTGATGATTGTAAAGACTGCTTTGATTTACACGGTAGAGAAAAGAACAGGTGGGCTTCAAGACAAAGCATTGAAGGGTCACTTGATTTCACAATCGATGAAGTTCTTGCAACAAAGAAACCTGGAACAATCCGAATTGGGCTTGACATTGGTGGTGGTGTGGCTACATTTGCTGTAAGGATGATGGAAAGGAACATCACAATTATAACAACTTCAATGAACTTGAATGGTCCCTTCAACAACTTCATTGCTTCAAGAGGTGTTATGCCTTTGTACATTAGCATATCACAAAGGCTACCATTCTTTGACAACACTTTGGACATTGTTCACTCTATGCATGTTTTGAGTAACTGGATTCCTTCAACTTTGCTTCATTTCTTGATGTTTGATATCTATAGAGTGCTTAGGCCTGGCGGGCTGTTTTGGCTTGATCATTTCTTCTGCGTGGAAGATCAATTTTTGGATGTTTACAAGCCACTCATTGAGAGCATTGGATTCATCAAGTTGAAATGGGTAGTGGGCAAAAAGCTTGATCGTGGAGCAGAGCTTAGAGAAATGTACCTCTCAGCTTTGCTAGAGAAGCCATTGAAGAATTCTTGGTGATTTAAATTTGCTAGTAATTTAATTTCTTTATTAGTCTGTGTTATTTAAACCTTTTTTTTGTTTATTTTATTTTGGAAAAATTTAATGAGTGATCTTACCAGAGCATGAATAATGTGAATGATAGATTTTCTTTTCTTTTTTTGCTTTTAATTTTAGGAAATATATACTGTAGTTCCGTTTCTTTTTGTCACAATAGCTATATGTTTGGTTATGCTAACATATTATTCAGGTTGTTTCTCAATCGTAAAGGTTTTCATAGCATCAAATGCTTAAATCCCCAATTTTTTTTAAACATGGGGAAGTGTCAATAGAATGGCCTCACGGCATCCTTGGTGCATGCAGAACTAGAATAGCAGCAATGACAATGTGATAATACCACAGCAATGATGCAGTAGCAACAGGCAACTAAGATCATATATATATATATGTATGTATGTATGTATGTATGTATATATGTATATGTATGTATATATATGTTCATGGTTCATGATGTAGTCCATAGGTGGTATTTGCGAAAACACAGTCAACATCTCATAATCAACAGAATTAGGTGATTTAGTAGCAGGGGTGGCATTTTACAGGCTCTTCACAGCTAACCATCAGGAAGAAGTATCAGATAGATAGATTATGACTGCTCTCCATCTTGAAACAGTTAGGCATTTACAGAAACGAAAAAATATTGACCAAAGAGAATGTTCTTTGCAGGCTGCACAAATGCCCGGTGTGCACAGTACATATAGATTATGACTGCTCTCCATCTTGATACAGTTAGGCATTTACAGAATCGAAAAAATATTGACCAAAGAGAATGTTCTGTGCAGGCTGCACAAATTCCCGGTGTGCGCAGTACATATAGATTATGACTGCTCTCCATCTTGATACAGTTAGGCATTTACAGAATCGAAAAAATATTGACCAAAGAGAATGTTCTTTGCAGGCTGCACAAATTCCCGGTGTGCACAGTACATATAGATTATGGCTGCTCTACATCTTGAAACAGTGAAGGCATTTACAGAAACGAAAAAATATTGACCAAAGAGAATGTTCTGTGCAGGCTGCACAAATTCCCGGTGTGCACAGTACATATAGATTATGGCTGCTCTACATCTTGAAACAGTGAAGGCATTTACAGAAACGAAAAAATATTGACCAAAAAGAATGTTCTTTGCAGCCTGCACAAATTTCTTGTGCCCACAGTTATATCATGGGGAATAACTACTGCAGTGATTATTAAACTACAGATTTATACAAGAAAGAAGCTGTTAGGGCTTCAAGAATGAATTATGCATATTGATTAATAGCATTCTCTCAGCAATAAATTCGTGCGATTGATAGAAAATGTGTTGCAAACAGAAACGGGAGATAGGGGCTGTATTTACTTCTTTAAGTGTTATGCTAGGGATTGTATCCATTTCAACAGAAGCTTGTAACTGCAAAAGCTTGAAAACAAAGTGTTCAAATATGTAGCGAACAAAAAGAATAGGAATTAAGTTGGCCAGCACTATATTTGCAGTGCTAAATCGGGGACTACACGAAACTCTTATGATTGAAATAGCAGCATATTGAGTTTAAGGTGCTCAAACCAAGCTCAAAGTTAGATAGGGCTTGTTAGCTTGTTAGATGAACATGTGAGTAGTAAATATATTCTGCACCTGAATATGCATCTGACAAGAAATATGAATTATACCAGACAATCTGTTTTGTTCCCTGCATCATCGAAAAGTTGCAACCATTCTTAAGGTTTGAAATAATCAGTATGCTAATCTGTACATGAGTCAGAGATTTGAAAAGAAGGCCATCACATGTCATCCACAAAAGAACATGTAGCCAATCTCATTCTGTATCCTTAGCATTTTATTTTGTATCATCCACTTACAAATTGTACAAAACCTCTTTTATGTTGTTTGTGTACAAGAATCATGCTGTGTGATTCTCAGGTTAAGGTATATAAAAAAATACCATATAAAAGCATGTTAGTCCTTACCTAACACTCGTTGATCAGTGGAATTCCTTGATGTCCTAAATCGCCTGGGTTGCTGATGGAACCAATTTCTGGTTCTGGGTTGTCGAAAAGTTCATCATTTATAAAAAACCACATCAGCATAGATATCAGCTCCAGGCACTACAGGCTGGCTGGAATATACCTTCCAACACTGTTTATTGATATTTCAGCTCATATCAACCAAAGCGTCATTGTCAAAGCGCATTCAAGCTGCAAACATGACAACTATTAACCTTGATTCAATCAATAGTTAATTATAGGTTGAGAAATCTTCAACAGTTGCTTCTTTTTTTTTTGAAAAATATTGGAACTCTAATCAAGCACCCAAACAAAGGCGCCAGGCCAGCTCGTTATTAAATCACAAAAAACTGACAATCTGGATTCTTCCCACTTTCTAATTTTCCCCATAGTTGTGCACTAGGAAGAAAAAAAGTAATCCAAACTACTCTGTATACCAGCAAACTATTGCAGACTCAGAGAACCATAGAAAGAGAGATTTGTACCTTGGTAAAAAGGTTCTGCAGCCTCTGCTCCATATCCAATTGCTGCAGGAATCATCAACAAATCATCAGAACTCTCAAATCTCTGGTGAGTTTCAGTTTTTCCTGGCAGTAGAGAATCACAGCATCCAGAACAAATGAACAATTGTGGTACTGTATCAGCATCATCAATTCCATTGCAGCGTGTGTGTTGCCACACCTCACAAATGTCACATTCTACCATTCTCTCCCCATCATCGTCACAAGCCCCACATTCACATCTTACTTTCCAGTTATCTGACCCACCTTCATACCGCAACTGAGAATTTATGTCCATGCCATACCCTTTCACAAAAATCTCTGCACCGGATTTGACAAATTTACACAGCAAGTCCTTATCATCTAGGTTTTCCATGTGTTCTATCTCTATAACAACAAAACTCTCCAGCATGCAGTATGTGTCTCGCAATGCACTTTCTGCTTCTTGCTTTAGTTCCAGCACAGAAGCATGCAATGGAAGCACGATAATCTCGCCAGGAGGAGCTTTCCTGTGAAATTTAGCTTCAAGATCATTCCAAGTTGGCATCACTTGGCATATGAAACTCAACAACTGATCATTCTCAACCCTGAAAGGCCACTCCTTCACAAAATGCTTGCTGTCTAGAATTGCCTGAGTTGCTACTTCAACCAATTCTGATTCTGGGTAGTTAAACAGCACATTCTCGTATACAAAGACCACATCAGCATTAACATCAGCTCCAGGCAAAAGAGGTTGTGCCGGAACTGTTTCAGATTCTGGTTCAGACTTGACAGGGATAATCCCGTCACCAAACTCCTCAATTGAGTATTCCAGAATCCTTGTTTTTGGGTTAACTGCCCGCTGGACAACATACTTTCCAACAACCACATTGTTCATTGATTTCAGAACATAATCAAGCAAGCCTGTATCACCAATGTGCATTCGAGCTGCATCTCTCACGTCTTGTCTAGTCATTCCTTCTTGACTGTGTTTGTCCTCCTTCTTTGCTTTCAATGCATCCACAATCACTTCAGCTGCATATTGCAGTCTTCTCGTAGGCCATCTGCTGTCCATTGTACCAACCAACGAGCTAAAATTTCTGTACTTCATGCATTTCTCCTTTATGAGTGGCTTTCTCCGGAGAACAATATTGATAGGAGGCTTTGAAGTGGTGGTGGCAGTCATGCTTTGTTTCTTCCATACACAGGGACAGGATCTGATGGCAAGCATGAAACGAAGAAAATCTTTGAATGTGATCAGCTGGGTTGGACTCAGGTCTTTGTAGTAGTGAATTATCTGCTTTATGCTTTTGCTTAGGCTCGTGTCACTGAAATCTTGAATGATCTTCTCAAGTTCCATAGTGCTCAGAATTTCAATTGCTCTGAAGTATATGGGCTCTGTCACACCAAAGCTTCCATGGCAAAACTTGTATCCCCATCTACCAAACCATGGATGTCCATATGCAATCCCATAAAGAAGGCGAAGATCCATGGACCGCTTCTTTGATACATCCTCAACAGTGATTTTCCTAAAAAAGAAAGGAAATTACTAAAATTCAGATTCCATTAAGCCACTGCTTAACTACAAAAAAACCTGAATTTCAGTGCAAATTGTGATTACCTAGTTCGAAGACTTGCACAAATACGATCCCAAAGATCCATGATTTCCCGGCCACAAAGATACTTGGAACCCCCTTCTCTCCCATTTATGCATAGTAAATGACCAAAACCATTACAGTGAATCAACCCATGCAAGAGGTGTGTCTGTAGATCACAAACGCCATCCTCCAATTTCTGACTCCACTCGCTATCAACTGGTATTATCATATGATACTTTCTTTTGGAAACAGAATTGTGACTCCAACCTAAACCACTTATTGACAATGAATTAAAATCAAACACAGAAGAATTTTAACCAGGAAACTACAATAGCCATAACTGAAGAACCCCAGATAAGAATAGCAAATAATCCAATTTAAGGTACCAGAAATTAATCATACAGAAAACCCTAGGTCAGGATTAGCCATTTCAAGCTCCATAGAATCAAATTCAGCAGAATATGAATAGGAATAAAACATCAATCCCAAGATTAAGATCCAAGTCTCCAAATTAACCTACCAATTAATCAAAAGATGCCAACTTTCTCAAGCCATGAATCCAAAAACATAGAAAACCCATCATAGAACACTAACTAAATTTCCAAAATTTAACACAGAAACCTCTACATTTCTCAAATCCCAAAATCCCGAACCCAAAAGAACCCCATTAAAAAACTCAAAGAAACTCAATTTCACGAACAAAAACCAAAACCCAATTCAGAAATCACATAAACAATAAAAAAAGCAAAAGATTCAGGCTTTACCGTTGCATCTGCACAGATCACAAAAGGGTCTAACTGACTCCTTAACATCTTCTTCAATGGTGTAAAGTGGAACAACAAAGTTTTTACTTTCAATAACAAGCAAAGTACACCAAATGGACATGCCCTCTACTTTATAATCTTCAGGTTCTGCACATTGTTGAAGAAAAAGCCGCATGTTATCGCGGAAAGGACCCCTAGGATTAATGGGGCAATCCGGTTCACAAAATGTGTTGAAATCATAGAGTTTTGGCCATCTTTTCCTTTTCTTGCAATTTTCAAGATTTGGTATTGACATTTTCAATGAAAACCCACTTTAGTCCTCTCTCCCTCTTTCTCAAGCTCCAGCAATGTTTCTGGTTCTTGAAGTTTTCTCTTGTTAAAAGAGTAATCGAGAGAGATACAAGAGGGCTCTCTCAACAGTACGGAGAGTTTGTTAGTTACTTCCCGCTGGAAATTTTGAAAAAATGTATATTCGGACGATACTGTTCTTGTTGAGGAGAGATCTTACTGTTTGTTTGGGTTCTCTTAAGTGTTAGATCAGGGGTATTATGGACACTTTATAGTTTTTGGTTTGTTAGTGATCCGACGGTTGTGAAACCGTAATGAGTTAAGGATTAATCTGGACTGTTGGATTCCGATTTGACGGTTAAGGTAGTTAGAGATGCGGCGGCTGGATGGTGAGAATCTGGTACTCGTATTGTTTTGGAGATGGGCCACAACATGATGAGCCCAAACTTGATATATTAAGATTAATTATTTCCTTAAAGAGTTAAATACAATAATTAATTATTGATTAATATGTTTACAAAAAAATTATTTATTTATTTTGGATTACGGACCTCTATATACTAACATAGAGGAATTTTTAAGAGGAAAAGGAAAGAAAGGGGATTTTTGAAATGATAGTCAAAGTAATTCATGTTATGATAACTTCCTGTTAGAAATAATTATATTATAAAAAAGATTTTTATTCATACAAATTATACATAAATAATTTATTATGGATTATTACAGTATTTTTTCTAAATAATTTAATTTAATTTATTTTATTTTATTTAAAAAAACACTATAGTTTTTTTATAAAACATTATCAATTGCTATAATATTTTTTTCAATGAGATTTTTTCTTTCTAAAATTATCTTTGTTGCTTTTTTTTAATATTAAGTTGGTAAAAAATTTATTTTTGTAATTTTTTTTATTTTTTATTAACAGAAAAGCTAAATCATGTAGTGAAAAACATTGTATATTTCTTCACAAAACACTATAGATTGCTACAAATTATTTTGTTCAGTCTTTAAATTTTTTATCATTAACACAACTTTTTTTTATATCATAAAATATTTGCTCTATTATATCTTTAGTTTCTATTATTTATCTAACGTTAATTTACAATTATAATATTATCAAATATATTTATTTTATAAATCCATATCAGCACAAGTACGAGGAAATTAATGATATTTATCCATGTCATCAATTGATTTAAGATCTTTGAACGATTTCATGAAAATAAAATAAAATAAAATGGAATCACCTTGTTTTGAATGGTTTGAAAATAGTTCATGGCCTTATACATGAGGGAATAAATAGATCTTGTTGCATTCTTGATGAAAGGTTTTTCTATAATAAATATAAATTGAGTTAATAAAAGAGAAAGATAAATAAAAGGAATTATTTAGGACATGCAATAAATAACAACAACAACAACAATTTATTTAACCATATATTTGGTTTAGCATGCTTGAGATTGTAATATAAATTGCTTTTTAAAATATTTTTTATTTAAAAATAAAATAATTTTTAAATTTATTTTTGATATCAGGACATCAAAATGATTTAAAACTATATAAAAAATAATTTAAAAAAACTAAAAAAAAATCAGAAACACACTCCAATAGAAAAAAACAAATATTGTCATAATATGATACATGATACTTTTTTTAAAATAGTTTTTAAATAGAAATATATTAAAATAATTTATTTTTATTTTTAATATTGATATATCAAAAACATCAAAGTATATTTACGAATATAACATATGACATGTTAAAGGTAACACAATACATATGATTATCTAACTTCATGGATAATGATTACATAATCAGCACTTTATCGTGGGAGGCAAGCCAAAATTTATTCCAAAATTACAAACACCATAAATTCTATATGTGGTGATCATGTAAACACCAAGCTTGGATCGAGACACACCTTTAAAAAATATAAAGCTATGCAGAGATCATGGGGAAAAGCCAAAAGTGCAAATCATATTATAGGAAATCTCATTCACTTCGTAGTAAAATAATCAAAGCACAAAGGATAAAGTTTATGACATACGAAATTGCCAAGAAATTTATGAAGCTAGATTTGAATGTTTGGTATCTGTCTTTTGCCCACGTCAAATCTCAAGAATGATTTCTTACTAATTTCCTTCTTTAATCAAGCGTTAATTATTTTTTTCACCTGCCAGTCTAAGTAGTCATGAGATGAAGCAGTCAGCATGCAATGATAAAAAGCTAACAAATGGGAGAGCTTGCCACCTTTACATTCAATGGAAAGTTTGAAAATTCCTATGGTGTGGAGGTCAAGTTGTGTGTTTCTTCACTTGGATTTCCATCTAGTCAGTTCTGTAGGCTTGACATTTTTGCAAGAATATTGCGTCTCTTTGCGACTTGATATCCACGCATTGGAGTGCGTGTACGTGCGTGTGTGTGTATAAATGCATAGGAGATGTTCTAACACCAATTCACTCTGAAACCCTACATCCTAGCTTCTCCCAAAGTCTTCCTGGTCAGCATTTCGATCAAAAAGTCTTTCTTGCTGTTTAGGGCACCAAATTTTGATCAGCAAACAAAAGCTATGGTTATGGATGTCAGGCAAGCCATAGAAATATGCTCTTCTATTCCCCTTTTGGGATGCGTAGTAGGAACTCTTTTTCACCGTTTCAGATCCTATGACTCAACATCAGCAAGTACAGCAGTGACTCGTGATACTGCCTTGTTGAGAGATGAGGTCAATGATCATCAAGCAGCTGCTAGTAACAGAGCAGCCCAGAAGCATTTCCAGCAAATTCAACACTTCCGTGGAGCATAGCAGATTTTTGTATCTCTACCGAACCTTGTTGAAGATAGCTTAATAGTATCTACTATTGTGGCATGCCATACTGGTCAACTGGCCATGTAACCTCGTTTTTTAATGTTTTCTTATAGCTTAGGGCTAGAAATAACTGGAGAGTAGCAAAGTTAATGCACGATCGAGTTTAATACTAATTAGTGAAGTTGAAAGCTTCATTTCAACTGAATCCGTGTAATAAATTTCTTTGATGTGCTGAGAGTGAAATGTAAAATATGCAGATTGGTTGAACAAGTCGTCGTCTTGTTATTTTAACACCTAGTACTCCACACGAACTTAAACTTGCAGAAGAGCTTTTCTGCTTATTTCCTCTTCTGATTAAGATAATATTTCTGGGTAAATGGGATAAGATTATTCTTCAGTTTGGGCTTTAGCAGCTTTGCACTGTAGTAAGAGGTTCTTATTTTATTTTTTTCATGAATGACCTGTGTTTTACTTGTTGATAGTGCCCTTAACTCTGTCAGCACTTGTAATTGTAATTATGGCACAGAGGAACACATTTAGTGATGTTCTTTAAGAGTTTTGGTGCCAACTTCTGCTGAAAGAAGTTTCCAAGGGCTATAGCCATGTTATAAAGTGTAAAACTCAGCGCATAGAATGAAGTCTTTGAAGCATATCCTTGCAGAATCTGAAATTCTAATGAATATGAGAAGCATTTATTCAACTTCTATGAATGTAGGCATGCAGCAGGAACAAGAACTCAGATACAGAGATGATACAAAACTAGGCTACAATACTGTACAACATTCAAGATGATTAATGTGTTTGATCACTAGTTAGATACAATTTCTGGCCATCATCAATCATGTTTACATCAAGAATTTTACCTGCTTCTTCTGACAATATACAAGAACCATCAGGAAACTGTAGCTGCTCTGATGCTGCTTTTACAAGCTCTTCCATGGTGCTTGGGACCCATAACACCACTCCAGGTCTTCTCTGTTCTTCTGCCCGTGGATGGAAAGGGAAAATTGTACATTTCTTTGTGAGTACTTTTTCTGCAATTGGCAACAGTAGTTTTCATTAACTTTAATAAGACAAAATATATATCCTGTTCTTAGGCATCTAAATTCAAGCATTAACAATAAGAGATGCCCATCTCTTCTCTGTGATAGGCATCTCAAATGTTTGAGTTGCTAGGTCAATCACCAACAATTGCTTCATTCAGCCACATTCGACCAATGTGGCGGACCCGTAGCGAAGACAAGGTTCAAGCAGAACAACCATGTTCTATCTCATACATTTTAGACTACCCAATCAAGATATGATCGGAGAAATCATCCCAGTTCAGAATTCAAGTCTGGTCCAGTGCATCTACATAAAATAAGCATGACAGCCTTGAGCAGACCGAACCATCATACACAGCCCTCTCCCTTGAATTTGACCACTGTTAAAATTTTCAACTAATCTTTTCCCCACAGACAGTTCTTTACATTACTATTATATTAATTATTCTTCTTTTTTTAATTATTTAATAAATCTTTTCTCAACAATCTGTTTGGAATCCATTTTGCCAGCTTTTTGGTCATATGAATCAAGAAAAATTTCAGTTTCTATGAGCATAATAGAAGCTGTCCACAAAAGTATTAGAAATACCTGTGGTCTCATGGGCACTATAATGGAATTCCAATTTCTGAGAAGATTTAGCTTCTTCTAGCAGCTTGATCAATTTCTTGCTCCCACACATCCGGCCCTCGTCAAGTGGAGTGTTGCCCCATCTATGGAGTTGAAATAGGCAAAGAAGAAGTCGGTGATCAGAACAATGTACTCATTCTCTAAAACTTATTATAACACATAAAGTGTCTCTCCATGTGATTGTAATATGGAAGTTAAATACTGCCTTGTTTGCTACTATTTGAACCCTAGAAAGACAGGTAGAGGAAAGACAAATCTGAGGAAAAGCTTCAATAAAAGAATCCTTCGTTTTGGTAATTTCCAAATTCTATTTCCCTTTCCATTCTACTTCCAGGAAACGACAGACCTTCGCTTTATTCATCTACTAACAAGCCTATATTAACCCTCAAAGTAGATCAATGCTATAAAAGCAGGTCTAGTTATGAAATGACTGATAAGCAAAATGAATATCAGGTCTACCTGTCCTTTGAGAAAACACTAGCTCCAGCTTCTATCAGCAGCTTTGCCATCAAATATAATCCTTCTGAAGCAGCAAGATGAAGTGGAGTTCGATGATCGTAGTCTTTAGAGTTTGGATCAATTCCATTGGACAAAATTCTCTTAAGAAAATCTGAATCCCCTCTTGCAACAGCTCTACACAGAACACTACCAGCATCATCTATGTTCAAGATAGCCCCTTGTTTAAAAAGTAAAGACTCAACTCGATCATGTCCATTCTTTATAGCTTCCAACAAGGGGGAGTTTCCAAATTTATCTGTAAAAGAATCATATAATAGTATCAATTTAAATTCTTCGGCAAGACATCAAACCACTAATATAAGCAAATTACCTTTGATGTTAATGTCAACTCCTTCTTGAATAAGGAAAAGTGTGATATCTTCATAACCTCTAGATGCTGCAAGATGCTGTTGGAAACAATGCTAGTTTCAGATAAAGCATTTCTTTCACTCTCTTAATCTACCTTTACAAAATATAAATTTGCTCAAATACCGGAGAAAGTGGCTTAGAAGCAAAAAAGTTATTAAAAAGGAAAAAAGACAAGCACACTTCTGCAGTTGTATGGCACAAAATATGATATGAAAGCTCACCCACCTCTGGTAATAAGCCACATGAAATGTGCCAGCATTAGAGGGTTTTTTTTTTAATTTATGATTTAGACAGTACAAAAAATGATAAGAACTGAAGTAAAATGAGAGCAGTCATATACTTGATCAGCGTTTCTCATACCAAGGGTGATCTTCCATCATAATCTGTTCTATTGGGATCAGCTCCTGCTCGGATGAAGCCCTTCAGCTGATAAAGGTCTCCATGATAAGCTGCACTATTAACCCTCAAAGCAAGTTCAGCTTCTTGCTTTCCAATATGAAATGTAATATCTGATTCCAATTGCTTATCTCGAAGATTAGATTCTTTCCCCTGTCAAATTTCCTTGATTTAGACTCTTAATGAACATGCAAATAATCCCTTTACGTCAAATATAGACCTATATCAATAATCTGATACTGGTTTCACAATGATAAGGAAGGAAAATAAAAACATGAATATGAGTTAGAAGAAGGTGCATATTAACCGAGTTGAATTACCTCTAAAAGGTTGTCCAAAATTTTGCGTCCATCGTAGAAGTAAATTTCAAGTATGTTTGAGAAAGATTGTTTGTCGATCCGTAGAAGCCGACATAATTCACAAACTCTAACAGTATAAGGCTGGGGGATGTTGCAAAGGATAGAAATTTCTCCAAATGAGCTGTTAGTTGGCAAGAGTTTGACAGTTTCTTCTGATCCATCCTGCCCTATCCCAACCTCTTCCTGCACCCAGGAGAAAGAAGGAAGTGATCATGCTTGTGTGATGAAAACATGAAGGTACGTATCCTATGCAAACCACTCAAAAACACAAAAGTTGATCCAATAGCCGAATCATAGAAATAACAGCATGTCTACAACATTATTCCCAGTTAATGAGAGGCTATATATGAAAGCATCACCATAGTTTTAACGAATCGTATCATATAATGAAACTTAGTGACAGTTGGATATAGAATCGTACCAGCACACCATGACAGACAAAGTAAAGCTGATCTACCACATTTCCCTGCTCCATAATTACTTCTCCAGGGAGAAAAAACTCCTCGTGAAGCCTGATGACCTGCAAGAACAAAAGAAATGGAAATATGAGAACAGAAGAGGTGTGGCTCCTATAATGGATGAATAGTATTGCAACACAAAACATACAACATTGAGAATAATGTATGAGAATTTTTTAGTGGCACAGAGTAAGAGAAATAACAAGTGTTTGCATATGAGCAAGGTAGACTAAGCAATGCACTGGTGAGGAAGATTGACCTGTTCGAAGCAAAAGAAACAAGAGGAAGATTTCAAAAGCATATCAAGTCAAGTCCACCTCTCATGTTCATCACCATGCAACATGGTACAAAAAGATAGATTATTCCTGAAAGTACAACAATGCCAGAGCCTAGTACAGATTGTGACCATCAATGATGTCAAGATTTAATTTAACCTTTAACTTGCAACAGTGATTTGGCAATGAAATCCATGATTTCACAGAAACAAGTAGCATTTTAAGCTTTACTATTTTATTGTTGCTCCACTATTTGGAACTTTCTGAATTTCAATCTCAATTATCATCAATATATAATGCAAGAGAAAAAGGACTTACAATTTGATTAATAAATTCTGCAGAGCAACCCTTAAGTAAGGGAACCTTTTCGATATATTCTGTGTACAAAGTTTGGGAAACCTGCAAAGAATAATCAACAAATTATTATAAGCTTCAAATTTCTGGACAAACTCTTAACAACGCAGAAGAGGAACCACAGACATAGTGATTCAACAATCCACATGCATGACATAATGTCAAAACTAACCCTTATTTTTGGAACACATAAAACAGATTTGAACATTTCATCCAGCACCAATCCAGTATCCTAATCTTTAGAAAATGAATGTTAACTTCACAAAGTCGTGCTTCTCTTAAGAAGCGAGACAAATCTTCTGTAAAGCGGTAGTGTTAGAAAAGGAGACAATATTATCTGTACTCCTCTATTTAACTAGAGCTCAAAGTTCGTATCAGCGAAATCCAATGCTATAAAGAAAAACTGAAAAGAAAAGGAAGAAATCTCTCGATGTGTTCTTTACCTTTGCACGAATAGAGATGGGGAGATCCTGCAGAGCAGAAGCCTCAGTGTATCTACTCTCATACTGTAAGCGAACATGGCCTTTGATCTGATTTCGGATGTCCTTCCCAAGTCTATTTCTATTCATATATTTGATGAGATCTGTCATTTTATCTCTGAACTTTTCTGTCTTTGAACCTTTTACTATTAATGCTGTCATATTTCCGATCAAATAAGCACCGAGAATCATGTCGAAGGACACAAAGATCATTACAAATATCATTTCCCTCAAGTTAACAGCATGTATATCTCCATACCCTGAGGCAGAAACAGCATACTTATTAGACCGTAGTTTAGACCCCAACAAAACTAGGGTATACAGCAGGAGAGACTCTTCAAACATGGTAGATGTAAAAACACAACCAACTTAACTGAAACCTTATGCATTACAGATGATCATAAATAAAAGTATTAAACAAAATGAAGCAGTCTAAACTCAACTAAAAAGATTCGCACAGATGACACATCAATGCTTATGTACTTCATGCTGTTGGACCCCTGACGATATCAATATCCCACATCAGCAAGAAATAAGGATTACGAGGCTTATAACTTCTTAGTACCATCTCTCCGAAGGCAAAACACACCACGAGGTTATGAACCTTAATGTGGGACAATAAATCATGAAGGGTTAGCTATGCTGCAGATTTGAGCCAACATCATCAATACAATAGGTCAATGCTTCACCTTTTCTCATTAAATATTAATCGCCTTTTTGTTGCGGAAGTGACCATTGTAATTCAAATCAATTTGATAATCCATATAGTGATATAAACAAAATGAGAAAACCATAAAATCCAGAAGTAACTCACCAACAGTTGCCATAGTGATGACGGCAAAATATAGAGATGTTGTGTACCGCTTCCAGATATCAATCTCCCTGAAGCTTGTATAGCTATAATCACCCATTTTCAAACTTCCAATCCAAGTATACCCTTCTTGAGAAGATGGAAGAGTAGTAGCCAAATGATAAAAAATGCAGGCCGCCGTGTGCGTGCAATAGAGCTCTACTACTATGAGCTTTACAATCCTTGTGAAAAGGTAATTTATTCGTATATCCTTCTCCATCTTTTGGAAAAAATCAGTTACTTTCCGCACCCTACTTAGCCTAATCCATAAGAGATACCTCACTTCTTCTCTATGTCCACTAGCCTGTATTAAACGAAAAATCCCATGATGATTATGAGACCTAGCTAGACTCGATCACTATGGCAACATTCAAGCTTTCAGATATCCATGATATACGGAAAATTATTTTTCAACTAGTTTCGTTCTGCATATCAACAAAATGTTCTGTCATGCTTCTAAGGAAACTAATACCTTGTAGATGATGTCCCAAGGCAGGCAAGCAAGCAAATCAATGATAAAATGAGATTTCAAATACCTGGAAAAAAGGAAAAAAAGAATAAGTGATGCAAATTAGCAAAATATGCTAGGGAAGCAGACCCAAGTCAAGCCGAAAAAAAGAAAAAGAAAAGTACTAGGCTTGTATCTACTTAGGCAGTGAACATCGGTGAATCTCACTGAACAGCTTTCAACCTAAAGGCAAGCAAAGAAATGATGTGTACGACAGTAAATATGCATGGAAGATGAGAGAACTGACCGAAGAGCAATAGGAGTGCGCTTATAGACCGTACGATAAGTCCGACTATCTCTGTAGGCAATGAAGAATTGTAAGATGATATCAAGAAGGAAAGCAACCTGTCCAACAATGTCCAATATGAAGAGGTTCTCAGGTAATCCCCTGAAGAAACCAAACTCCATTGGTGTAAAGAAGGAAGAGTAGACTGCCCATAATAGAATGAATTTTGTCCATGCTCGATACCACCTGCATTGTTTTGACCACAGTGTTCCATTTAAGGGTGCCTTTGATTTTGCACGTTATATACAATTATCAATGCGCTCATCACTGTGACCAACGACTGATAACTAGAAATATATCTTAACATAGCTGGATGAAATGCAGTAAAACAACAAAGACAGTAGAATTGAATACATCAACTATGTTGGCTGTACATAAGAACAAAGGCATGACAACACATCAAAACCAGGCAGGAGCTGGGGACACCACACTTGTCGCGACTGCATGCTCCATCTCAATGGTCCACGACCTTCATGCACTAGAGAAACCTACGAGGGCGTATCGGGCATGAACAACCCAACTGAGGCCATCGTAAGAGTTGGCCTACTACATTTGCTTCTCATTCCACTGTTCACAATGGACACTCCTCAGTCCTGACGGGCCAAATATGCCCACCAGCTTCTAAATTCAAACCAGCAATAATTGATTTGGCTCGTGGAGTTGTCTTCCTATTCAAACTCAACCCGAGCTAAGTTTTAATTCAAACTAGTTTTTATATTATCCCGAATGATTTCAAATTTAATCGGTTAAGTTGTTTACCCGATTAAATCTAATTTAAACACGACGGGTTTAAACAAAGAAATTGAAGAAAATGAAATGAACTTATTGGCCTTATGATTATGTATAATTATTAAATTTGTTAAACTATAATAGATTGTTTTAAGATTAGAGAATAGAAGATAATATTGGAATAAGAAAACATATATTCGTGAAGCATAAAAACTCAAAATAAATTTATTTTATATATTTATATTTTTTTTCAACCAAATATTCTTTTTTTTCTTATTTACTTGTGACTTCTATCAAGAGGCCAACCCAGAGCAAATAACAGCCTATACATTTCCTCTTTATTCACAGAATTAATGAATCTCGTCCATTAATTTTAGCTATTTAGTGTTTAATAAATTTATTTTTTTAATAACAAAAATCATAGGGATAAAGGAAACATTTCTAATTATAGAATACTAGATTAATTAAGGATAGAAAATGACTCACCTATTATGATCAGGATGGATAACGAAACCTGAGGAGACATAACGAAGGCCATTAATGACCGATTCACGACTCAGTTTTCTCTTCCAACTTGTCATCGACGTCTCACCATTATTATTAACGAGTCCAAACTCCTTCTCTATCAAATTAAATCGACTCCCTCTTGAAGATTTTATCCTATCTTTGAAATCTTGCACTTCATATTCCTCTTCTTCATCATCGTCCGATTCTTCTTTCTTGTTTTTCTCTCTGTGATAGCCATGACCATCCATGTTATGAATCACTGCAACCCTTTCGGGCTTTAACCGGGAAAAAAAAGAAGAAAACCAGTGCTCCTTATACAGGGGAGAGCTCGAGAGAGAGGGTTGGAGAAAAGGGTGCAAGTTGAGAAGGAAAGGACCATAAAATGCGAACTACTTTTTCAAAGGGATCACGAAGGAAATATGGTGAGTGATACGACGTTGGAAAATGGAGGTTTTGGAGATTTTGAAACTAAGTTTTTGGAGTGGATTGTTGTTGAAGATGATTGGGTTGCTTGATAAAGATCGAGTGTTTTATGGAAGATTGTGATAAAGAGTTTCTTTTGCTTTGTTTTGGGAGTCATGGATTTTTGCATTGGAGATTACGCTATTTATAGGCTAAAAGATGGCATGCATCCAAATATTTATATTTTTTATAATGTTTAATGGTGTGGCTTCTGAGATAATACAGGGTCTCTTATTAAATTTGAATCTGAAATCTGGATAGGAGAGTGTCTTGTTTTTTTTTTCAAGAACACTTATAATTTATTTAATGATTATTGACACGTACTGCAAGGGTTTTGTAATAAATAGAAAAGAATTGGTTTGATGAATCAATCAAATCATAATCAACAAATGAGACAAGATCCAGAAAAAATCAGTTTATTACAGCACTAACATTGTCTCTAGTTCGTGTGGTTTTGTGACAAATCATTCATTAAATCTAGTATTAAACTATGATAATGCACTTCTTTTAGATGCTTTGTGTAAATTAATGACATCATCCTCATCCTCACCTTCAATGATAATGGCAATGTGTCTGGCTCAACATGCTTGAGCTGTCGACGTCAAAACCTACCCTCATCCCATTTTTTGCTGGATCGGATAAAAATCATGTTTCTCCGGGCCGATTGTGGTATGTTTCGCCGGATTGCTTCATGTGTTGCCCTTTCAATGTATACATTGACTTTGATTTTCAATAATTATACAGGTGGTCGAGCAACATTTATGTATAATTAAAAATAATAAAACATAGAAGAGACGGAAATAGCACGACAGCTTACGGAAAAACACGGCAAGTGCGGAAACATGTCTAGTTAAATAAATAAAGATTGAGAATGATTTAATCTTTGAGATAGGTTTAAAAATGAATTTATGTATTTTTAAAACATGAATTTCAATTTTTTATTTATTTCCAAACAATAAAAAACGTTAACTAGGATACCAAATTAAAATTGGAACTTTTGACTTTTTTAAAAAAAGAAAAATTATGTCAATTTATATCACAATCACTACTGATATGATGACTAGAGAATTGATTAGAAACTTTGAATTGTTAACTTCGGTGGTGCAGTGGCGGCAGCTAAGCAAGATGGCGGCTGGATGAAACAGGGTTTAAGCAGCTGGAATGGAGGTTTGGGTTGACCTCAACTCGATATTGAAGATGATAAGTACGTGGGATTTATCCGGGTTACTATGACCTAAAACAGGTGAATTGTAACGTCTATTTTTCTGTATGATTAATTTTTTTTTTATTTATGTGGGGTGTTTGAACCAACTTATACTTACCATGACTAATCTACACGACCCACTAAACATTTTACAAACCCAATAAACAGGTAAGGCACCACAAAAATGATAAGCGTGGATAATAAAGCATTATAACCTTACTTACATGACTAATTCTTTTTTAGAATTACAAGAACATGGCTCAAATGTTCAACTAAGAGGAGAGAATGTGTAACAGGTTCTTGATTCGAGGCATTTGGAAGGGAATTTTGGTGGGAAATCCCGAATTCATGCATGCTTTGTTTTTTAAATTCAACCATGAGCTGTAGTCAAATTTAGGCATTGTTTTTTTTTTTTGTCTGGATAGAATTTTATTTTCAATTCAAAAATAGATCTAGAGAATACTAAATACTGAGGGGATTAAAAAAAAAGGGCTCGCACAAGTATCTTTTCTCCATCATCCACAATAAAGCCAGTATATAAAGGAGAAAAAATCAAGAAGATCAAGCTGAAACCCTAATTTTGTCACCAGATAACTTCCATTCAAATATTAGTACGTACACTCAGATATATACAGGCTTGAGTCCACATGAAAATAATAAATTAAGTAAATAAGTTAATTAAGAGAAAATTTGACAAGAAAAAATGGGAAAATAATTTGCTCATATCCCATATAGATAGTTTTTTTTTTTAATCTTAGTCAAGTGTCCTATAAATCTCAATACAAATTGATTTATAATTATCTTTCTATGGATGGATTTTATCAAATATTTTTTATTTTACATCAATAATTCAACTCTTTTCCGTGGAAAGAGTTAATTAATGGAAAGTTGGCCTATTGATAACCTAACCTACTAAAATGCGGAATCGAAAACCTTTTACGAACACTTAAAGTCTTAATGATATGGACATTATATTAAAAAAATATGTATGTAGCAAACCCAGAGGTTCACCTGCTTTCCTTTGTTTTGTTGTTTGTTTTTTTTTAAAGACATGTGGCATATTCGATTTTTTATGCGTCCCAAGGGGGGATTTCTTTCTTGTAGGGATCGGCTTCGAAGCAAGCCGGTTGCCATGACAGTGTCCACCAGCTTTCTGAAAATTTAACAGTTATTTGGCTATCATCAGACGTGCAATTGTTGGATTAATTTACTACAGCACTAACATTACAGTGAAATGAATAAATTAAGAACCACAAGCTTAGTCTGAGGTGGGAATCTGCGGTGTCACAGGGCACAAAGCACAACCAAGTTGCCAGCCCACTTGATTTGCTAATGCTGGCACCATACTGTCATTAATTAAGACTTCTCTAATTCGAAAAGACTGCACAGATTAAGCCAAAACCTAATAAAAGCAGCATGTAAACACATGAGCCATGAGAAAAAAATAAATAAATAAACAAAATTCAAAAGAAAGAAAGAGCACGCGTCACCAACATACTTTTTTAGGACACCTGTGAAGTTAATCTTTTTAAGCGCGACACACTACTGAGATTCGATCATTCTAGAGTGCTGAGTTTTGTCTTCAGCCATGTCCTTTGGTTTTAATCCTTAATTTTAAAAAACCTTCAAATTATAGCCCCTTAATTCTCGTTGTTTATTGTCCTTTGAAATAATAATAAACAGAAAACAATTCGTTTTCACTCTTTCTCTAGCACACTCACTCAAAGTTATTAATCCAAGCCCAAAACTCAAATAATAAATTAAATATGTTAACTTGGTTAACTCAAAACAAAATTATTTTGAGTTTTTTATAATTAAAAAATATTATTTTTATGTTAAATCATGTTTGACTAGGTTATGCATTGATGCACTATATTACTAAAGTTTAACTAAGTTAATTCTTACTTATTTTAATTTGTAATCTAGCTCAGGTCAAGTCTTGAGTTTTATGTTAAATTAGATTTAATCAGAGTTATGTACTAACTCACTAGTTTGATTAAATTTAATTAAATAAATTTTTATAATTATGTATCTCCCAATCTTTGGATTTTTAGGGTAATGTTACAAAAATATTTTTGAAAAACAAATAATTTTTATTATTTTTAAATAGTAAAATAGTAAAAATTAAAATAAATTTTAAAATTAAAAAATATAATTTAAATGTATTTCAAATAAAAGCAATTGTTATCACAACAATAAATAAATTTTAAATTTGTTGTCTCAACTTTTTTAGTAAAATAATTATACTTAATTTAACTTATCAAATTTTAATTAAATTTAATTAAATCAACATTAATCCATTTAATCATTCAGGATCAATCAAGTAATATCAAAAATCAGTTCAAATTAAAATCCAATCAAAACTAAGCTTTGGGTTTGCGTCCCGCCAGGTGAGATTAATAAATATGTTTTCTTCATAATTTACTGAGCAGGAGTAAAAAAACCAAACTTCATCCCGGTTGCTTCTGGTTCATGATCATGGTCGTTCGGTCAAAGCCACTTTGCTAACGAAATCTTAGTGAACCTGATCATCCTAGATTTCTGAACGCCGAAGCAATTGGATGCACAGCTAAATTGAAGAAAATACAGGCCACCATTCACTAAAATATTTAATTGTTTGAGCACATAGCAAGTTTCCTTCGTCACAAGTTAAGAACTTCGGAAGTTGAAGCTTGACAAGGCAATGACTCGTCTTACTCGGCGGCCAGCTTGTAATCCATGATCATGCATGGTCTGCGGCAATTTTATATATATTAAAAGGAAAAGTAGGAAAAAATAAACGTGATTATTTTCAATTGCAATTGAAGGGAGTTAGGGTTCAAAAAGTTTACAGATTTATTTCTGATAATTGAAAGGATGATTCATCGAAGACTAACCAAGCTTCATGCCTTCTCTTCCCTTTTAGTTTATGACAGGCATTCATATTTGAATTGGTTTGTTTAAAAACCTAATTTACAATACAGTATATATGGAAAATTTTGCTCCCTGTTAGTGCTGTTAAATTTTTGGACTCTTTATCTGGAAAGACTAAGTAGGCTATACTAATATCCATACAATGACCATACATAGATGAGCATGTAGCAGTCCCCTCCAGCAGAAAATTTTGTCATGTCTCCACGTCGTTTCATAAATGCTGAGCTCTCCAATCAACAGCAAAATTTACATCACTGTCATCGTCGCTGGATGAATCTTCATGGCTAGACTCTTTGCTAGCAATCTCAGAACCTTTGCTGCGTTCGGAAGCCCTGGCGGCCATTAACTCCATTTTCTTTTTTTTCAACAATTCAACTCTTTCTCTGTATGTCCTGGTAAAATAGAGATAAAAAAAAAATGAATGCAGAAGCAGGAATAATTAGCAACCAAACTAACAACGATGTTATTGAGGACAGAAGAAAAAGAATTGTGGCCAAAATGAGCTTACTTCTGCTCCAATGATTCAGCTTCTTCGATAGTTTCAGCTGCATCAACCTGAAGTTACAATGTAACATATTAAGTACTTGAGCTTCTTGTGTTGGCAAGTGTAAAAGGAAAATAGAACTAATTCTAAAATGATTGGTAATAGGATAGATAAGCCCAGACCTCCTCTTCTTCCAAGCGGTCATCCACCTCCCGCAGGTCTTCTTGGATCAGCTTTTCAAATTCCTTGTACTCATCACTAACCCAAATTTAACACAAATACAAGGTTACGCTGCATCCCAAAATAATATAAAAATATAATGGAAAGAATATCATTAACACATTGAAGAGCTATAAGGGGAAACATAACATGCAGCAAGTTCAGAAGGAAGATGCAAGATGCAAGTTACTGGAAACTGTGAGGCATCTCAAAATATACATCTACAAAAAAACTTCTAATGTACTACAGAATTCCGTGAGAGGTACTATTCCAAAGCAAAAAATGGAAGAAAAGGCACCCTCCAAGAAACACACATACAGTCATCTGGTTTGCATACTTCTCTTAGAAGATCAGAAGGTCAAGACAGAATGTGTGGGATAACAGATAGAGTTCATCATGTAGGATATAAAACCGATCGCTGTTTGAGAATGTCAAAAATTTATGTACACTCATGATATCGAGACTCAGCAGTTCAGTTTAACTAGCAGTTAAAGATTTCAAATCTGCACTGGATAAACAGACACCAAGAAAACTACGTTTAGAAAACAATAGTTTCATTGGTTCCCATTGGTTCTTACATTCATTCTCATTCTTCTTCATATTTTGCATTTGACTAGTTTCTTTGTGTTTACTATAAAATGGCAAAATTTTGTGCCTTTTCTCTCTCTCACCATCAACTGAATATGCCTATAGTAAACTTGATATTCAGGAAACAGAAGAAACAGATAGCAGTGAAGAAGAGACCCATTTAACATCAGTCTAAAGAAACTAGGATTGCCACAGATACGATATAATATTAGACAACTTACTTGACATCTGGCTTAACAGGCTTAATACCACGAGCACGTAAATCAGCTTCCTTGTTATCAAAGAAGCCCTCAGGAAGAGCTCCTTGTCCTTTCTTGGCTTGTGAGTCAGAAATTTCAGCGGGTGTGTTTGTAATCCCCCGAGCATCCTCAGTCTTTTTTGTCTGCAGATGATTACCACTGGGCAATCCACCAGTCTCATCTTCCAAGAGAGACCGTGTCGCCTTAGTTTGAATAGAACTGGCTGGCTTTAAAGATGAATCTAGCTCAGATGGCTTGACAGCATCTGCACTTAAATGTAATATTTTAGCCTTAAAAGTTTACTCATCCAACAGCCAGTGCCAAATACTTTTAAGGACAACATATTGAACATGTTGCTGAGAATGACAGAAGCACAGGTTCTATGCAAACATGGAACCAACAATAACATGATGAAAACTAGCATGGACAAAGAGGTGACACAGGGAACAAAAGGTTCTATTTCAGGTTAATGACTTCATCAGGTAAAGCAATTAGAGGGTGCTACTACAACTAAAATGACTCTATACGAAGAGCCCAAAAAATGAAATTTGCATGGATAGCATTATGCGAGTGCTTTATCACGTGGTAGGTTGAAGGTTATCTTCATGTGTAAAATCTTTATCAATTTTTAGACAAAAGTTTAATGATCAACTACTGCATGCAAGGGACAAAAAAAAGGTTGAAAAGGGGATTGTTAAAGCAGGCAAAGGGAGCAGGTGTAGTCAGGACGGAAAACATCATGTCTATGGTGGGGTTATGTGGTGGAAGAGAGGAATGAGGGCACAGTTACAATCTATAATGCATAAGATAAAATTTAAGTGCCTAAAAGGTGGCTGGAAATTAAGGAAAGTGGTAATGGAATCGAATTTGTAGATATCAACACATGATGCAAGAAGAAAATGTTAAAAGGGCTATGTAATTTCACCTGGAATTCCTAGGAAATGACAGCTAGGAAAAAAATATCAGACCTTCATAAAGACCTCAGTTGCATCTGAAATGTAAATATTGTTCTCATTCATTTAAAGTTGCAGAACCATTTAACAATGTCGCTGTTTGAAGTAAGATGCGATACTTTACAAAACTATGTCGATATGGCTTCTCAATAAAATTCAAAAAGATATTTTCCATTGTAGCAATATTCTCACCATTAAACTAAAGCATCATTTTTCTTTATTTTTTTATCAAAAAGAAATTAAAGCATATCCATGGCATACTGGGCACTTGATTTCTTTCTTTCTTTCTTTTTTTTGCCTAAGGAATTTATGAACCAAAAAAAAAATTGTATTATTGTACCAGTTTTTTGTCTCTTTGCCTCTTTATTATCAAAAAAATCTGGAGGAAGTGCCGACTGAGGTCTGGGCAATTGTGTCAATGACTCGGATTTTGCATCTTGCAGCTGAGCATTATCTGCATGCTTGGATCCAGTTGACACTGCAGAGGGTTCAGATTTTGCATTGTTAATATTCTTTAATCGAGCTGCATTCACTTTGATGTTATTTATTGCCTGTCCAAAACAACCCAACAGTTAGAGTATGGTCAGTCTGGAAACACAGAAAAATGAAAACACATGTTGTGATTGGAAATGCATCCTCATGCAGGAATGGTAGCTGTATACCTTGGAGCAGAATGCAATACATATTTAGGAGTATTTGATGAAGTATTTCTATCACTATTACCTTGAAATTTCTATTGGAAAATTTCCCAATTAGAATGAAATAACACTCTAGTGCCAGAGTTACTTATTTCACATTGCTATTGAGATGGCTTAAGTTGAAGTTCAACTACAACCAAGACACATTTTCAGGAGTTTTCAAGCTTCTAACTAAAGAGCACAGGATCATGTTCAATTGTCGAAGCACTTTTACCTAGCAGAAGATTCTCACCATAAAGCATGCGGTATCCCAAATTTATCATGTCTATAATTATGGCTAATTTCTCAACAGTGTTATCCAAAAATCATTTGTAACAGAAAAGGGGATTGAGATATCTCTATATTACCTCAATATGTTTACGAGAAGCTTGGTGAGCATCCCACTGGAATTCAGATTTCAAAACAACATCGCAAACCCTACAAACTGGTTGATCCAATTCATTGTACCTGTATTTTGTACAAGAAAGAAATATAGGTAAAAACTTCATTCTGTTAAGTAAACAAAAGAGAGTAGCAATAAAAAGATTTAAAAAAAAAACATGGTGCATCTGAAAGTCTCAATTCTCAGAGACAAATAACCAAAAACATCATAACACCAAAAGCATAATGCTGAAATTATATATCACAAGTGAATCTCCACTGTTTCTCCATCATATCTACCGAAAAGCCAACTACCATTTCTCCATAATACACCAAAGAGCCATGTCAATCACAACTAAAACTGACATCACCACACTTGTACAAAAAAAGTTCATCTTTTTTATATACTCACATAACCCCCGATTTCGTGACATCAGCATAGACATCAAATAACACCATTTTTTTTTTTTCATTTGATCAAAACCCTCACTTGAAAATGACTCAAAAAAGTAAAACAAGGTAACCCATGTATTCCGTCAACCTCATTTTGCAGTCTTTCTAACTTCAACAACTACTTCAGCAACACCAGGCCATCAAACCCACCATCCAAAAATCTAAACAGAAACAGAGAAAGAATCATAATATCAAAACGGGTTTCTTAGAAACTGCTGAAATTCTAGCTTAAAACACTAATCCCCCATGCTTAGATACTATTATTTGCTACATTCAAACTCTACATGGAATTAATTAAAGAAATTTCAAAATAGGGTGTACCTAACAAGAGGAGAATCGATTTTCTTCTCTTTCCTTTGGGCGTTCAGTTTGGATCGAAACAGTGCCTTCTTCTTCGCTGCGTCCATTGGAAAATCGGGCTGACGTCCTCTTGTTCTTGTTCCTCTCGTCCTCTCGTCCTCTCTTCTTCTCTTTCCTTTGTCTTCTTAATTTTTATTTTGTGGATTAAGATATCGGAATTTTTTGAGAATTTTAAATTTTTGATAAACATGGCAATTTTATTTGAATGAGTAATGGGCCCAAACAACTTCAGCGTGGGGAGGTGGTTAAAATCCAGGAAAATTGGGATGATAATTTGGCCCAATTTGAAGAAACAGGCCCAACAAGAACCATCTAAATAACTGCCATGGTCTTTTTTAAAAAAAAACGTCAGTTTTGGTTTTTTTTTTTATAAGAAAAAAGTCAAGATGAAATTATATAAAGTAAATTCTCAGAAGATTAGGTCACTAAGAGCTTTCGTTTTTTTTTGAAAAAAAAAGTGTTTTTACAGAAATTTATTTTTTTTATTTTTTTCACTTCAATATTTTTTTTTAAAAAAATATTATTTCAATTTTCAAACTATTACCAAACACGTTCTATTGACTCACCATGTTTGAGCCAGATTTAATAACATTGCTATAATGCTTATTATAATACAAAGCTGTAATGGGTGATGACAAAGATAGGAAGAGAAGCAGGCATGAGACAGCTCGGGACAGAGGACCAAGATGCTGATATCCTTGGGTTTGAAATCCAATCATTTCATTTTCGGTGGCAATTTTTAGCACTGGTTTGTGAGATTTTTATGCGTATAGCAACTAGCAAGGCAAACAAATCAGACAACTGCCTCCTTTATTTCTTCTATCACTATGTGATAAAACATTGAAGTTTACTTTGCATTTACACCCTCGTCAAAGATGTGATCTAGTAAATACTTTTCAAAGGAAGAAAAAACAATCAATACAAGAAGAGTGATTTATGTATTTAGGCTAAAATGCATTGGAGACACACGGTATATCAAGAGACTACAATGCTCGTCCCGGCCAATTCAACATTTATTCAACCATAAACAGTTCTACAGCTTTGCAAAAGTAGTACAGGCTGCAAAAGAGATGGATCAATCACAGAATATCGACTCAGAAACCACCGCGAAGGCGGAGGACAAGGTGCAATGTGGACTCCTTTTGGATATTGTAGTCTGCCAAGGTGCGTCCATCTTCCAACTGCTTACCAGCAAAGATCAACCTCTGCTGGTCTGGTGGGATCCCCTCCTTGTCTTGGATCTTTGTCTTCACGTTATCAATGGTATCGGAGCTTTCCACCTCAAGAGTAATGGTCTTTCCTGTCAAGGTCTTGACAAAAATCTGCATCCCACCACGCAGACGGAGCACCAAATGCAGAGTTGATTCCTTCTGAATATTGTAGTCTGCAAGGGTGCGACCATCCTCCAGCTGTTTTCCAGCAAAAATCAACCTTTGCTGGTCCGGTGGAATCCCTTCCTTATCTTGGATCTTTGTCTTAACGTTATCAATAGTATCCGAGCTCTCCACCTCCAAGGTGATAGTTTTTCCAGTGAGGGTTTTCACAAAAATCTGCATCCCACCACGCAGTCGGAGCACCAAGTGCAGAGTTGATTCCTTCTGGATATTATAGTCTGCAAGAGTGCGACCTTCCTCAAGTTGTTTCCCAGCAAAGATAAGCCTCTGCTGATCTGGTGGAATTCCCTCCTTATCTTGGATCTTTGTCTTGACATTATCAATGGTATCCGAGCTTTCCACCTCCAAAGTAATTGTCTTTCCTGTCAAGGTTTTCACAAAGATCTGCATCCCACCACGCAGACGAAGCACCAAATGCAGAGTAGATTCCTTCTGAATATTATAGTCAGCAAGGGTCCTTCCATCTTCAAGCTGTTTGCCAGCAAAGATAAGCCTTTGCTGATCCGGTGGGATCCCTTCCTTGTCCTGAATCTTGGTCTTCACATTGTCAATTGTGTCAGAGCTTTCCACCTCAAGGGTAATAGTCTTGCCAGTAAGAGTCTTCACAAAGATCTGCATCTGTTACACCCAAAGAAAAAAAAATCATGAGTACCTCTATAATTCAAGATCAAAAGATTTTAAAAAATAAATAAATAAAACTATTTTTCAAAAACCCTAAAAAGATTAAGCAAAAGAAATCTAAATAGACCCTCATCAAGCAAGAACTGCGAAAACCCTCAAATGATAAACTAAAAGAAATCAAAACAGACCCTAAACAAGCAACAATTTCAAAAACCCTAAGAAGATTAAGAAAAAGAAATCAAAACAGACTCTAATCAAGCAAGAACTTAAAAAACCCTAACAAGATTAGGCAAAAGATATCATCCTAATCCCCAAATTCAAGTGACAAAATCTTTTAAAATTTCTTTTTTTCAAGATATAAAACAGAGATTGATCAAACTTCTAACATTAATACACACTAATCTTAGTACTGTTTTCAACTAATCCAAATTAACCAACTTGGAAAGAAAATTATTAGCACCTCCATAGATTGCACAATCCAGCATCAAAACAGGGCAATTATAAAGAACAAATCCTCTTCAAATAAAAACAAAAACAGAAGAAATATAGAATTTCTTGATGCTTAAACCCAATCAAGCAACAACTTGAAAAAACCCTAAGCAGATTCAATTCAATTAATCAATCAATCAAAAGGCAAGCATAGATGAATTCTCTGATAATACAGACTTTGAAAGATAAATCAAAAAACCAAAGAGGTTAATTAAAGAGAATAGAGAGAGTAATTAAAGGAAACGAAAGGTCTTCAAGAAGAAATTACCTTTGCAAAATAAGAAAAATGAAACGAAGCTTGAGAGGGAGATAGATTATTTAACGAAATCACAGGTGAGAGGAGTTGGATGGGATTTGGGTATTTATAGGACGTGGTGAAGGTTTCTCAAAGCGGTGCGGTGGGCTTTAATAATTTGACTTGCTCCCAACGATGGGTCCAGATTCTTCTCGGATTGTGGTGAAGGTATCTGAAAGCTGTGCAGTGCGGAATTAAAATTTGACTTGCACGCCACGAAGGGTCTATATTCTTCTCATTTTATACGGTTTTTGTTTTTCATTTGAGATTGTGATGCTAGTTTAAAATATTTTTTATTAAAAAAAAATATTAAAATAATATTTTTTTATTTTAAAAAAATATGTTAAGATTAATATATTAAAATAATTTAAAAAATTAAAAATTAATTTTTAATAAAAAATTAAAATTAAAAAATATGATTTTATCTTCATACCCTAACATTTTCTTTGTTAAATGTGTTTTATCGTTGTTTTAAATGATTTTTAAATTATTTTTATTTTAAAATACATAAAATTGTTTTTTTAATATATAATGTTAAATTTAAAAATAAAAATATTATTTAAATATATATTTTATTAAACAAGGACCGTCTTTTGATAAGGATATCAACACATTCGAGCAAGAGGTATGGCCTTCTATGGATATATTATTTTTTAAATAGTTTTTTATATCAAAATGTATGTTAAAGATATTTTTTTATTTTTTAAAAATTATTTTTGATATTAGTATATTAAAATAATTTAAAAATATTAAAAATATATTAATTTAAAGTTAATAAAAAATTAAAAAAATTCAATTTTTTTTAAAAAATATTTTTTAAATATAGAAACAAACAGGAGTTATATCAAATAAAAAAATTGATTATCGTGTCTCAAAAACCATCGAGTAAAGGCGCATGCATTGTGTTTTGTGATAACGAGATTTATTCTTTCTTGATCTCTTTTCTCTCTCTTGGGATTTATGCTAGACTAATCAAATTTAAAAGTTATTACTCTATTTACTTTGTATTTTAATTATAGTTTTTATTTTTTTAATTATTTTTAATTTTATTTTATTTCTCTTCTTAATTAGAAAATTAAAAGATGTTTTCTCGTTTTTTTATTATATTCCTCATTATTATTATTATTATTTTAATTGCTTTTAAAAAATTTATTTTTATTTATTTTCATATTTTATTTAATTGAATTTTTATATATTGGTGACTACTCAAAGTGATTCAGCCAAATTCTATTAGTATAGTAGTTAATTAGTTAGATGGCTTGCATAGTAGTTAATTAGTGAATACTAAACTGCAATCTCACCTTTAACTTCTAAAATAGAATTGCAAGCAGAACCTAAGCTCTTTTAGCTTCTATCAAGTTAGGTCTAAAATATATCTAGGTTCTACTAGGTTTAAAATCCAAAACTATTAGTAGTCTTATCTAACCTAACTCAAGTTTAGTATTAAATTAGCCTTTAACTAGGTTATACAAACCTGAGGTTATTTAGATCTTGTATATGGTAAAATCCAAGTTTATTTTTGAGTTTTATAACTAATAATTTGTATGTAATTTATAAATGAAAATAAATATAAAATTAAGTATAATTTGATAAAATTATTATTACAATACATTTGATAAAAATAATAAATGATATAACATTTTTTTAAAATTCCTCAATTATTTTATTAATTACAATAAAATATACTTTTATAAATTTTACTAAAAATAATAATATTTATAATACAAATCATAATATTTTTAGTATTGATTATTATAAAAATAATATTATTTATA